AATCAGTCTGCTAAACTGAGTCATACCTCAGTGATAGAAGATGCCACCCTGAGTGACTTTCCCCAGTAGCCAGATTGAACCAGTAATGAATAGCATATCCTAACGGAACTAATCAATATTAAAGACTGGGAGGAAGATTTTTTTGGGCTGGAATAAGGAAACTTTTGCACCAAGGCAAAGCTTGTTGCCTTGTGCAGTCTGTCTTGTACTCATATTCAAGTTTTGGGGCAAAAACACCTAGTAGTTCTGGACATGAGGCCTCCATACTCACCTAGTTTTTCCAGCCCAGCAGACTGTCAAGTTTCTCCTAAGAGAAAGAATGTATCATTGTATTAGTTTCCTGTTGCTGCTGTAACAAGTTACCACAAACATTAACTCATTGTCTTATAGTTCTGGAACTCAAGTCCTAAAATCAAGCTATTGCTGGGGCTGCATTCCTCCTGGAGGTTCTAGGAGAGAATCTGTTTCCTTGCATTTACCAGCTTCCAGAGGCTGCCTGCATTCCTTCACTTGTCACATCTTCCTCCATATTCCAGGCCAACTGTGAAGCATCTTTAAATCTCTCTACTGAAGACCCTGGTCATTACTTTGTGTCCACCTAGATAATCCAGGTAACCCCCCAACTCAAAATGCTTAATTTAATCACATCTGAACAGTCCCTTTTGCCATGTAAAATGTATAACTTCAGGGAATTAGGACATGGACCTATCTGGTGAGCCACTAATCAACCTACCACAACTATAAATATCATTAACCTAAAAAGAATGGCCTAAGTTGGCTGGGTGTGGTGGCTCACCTATAATCCCAGCACTTTGGGAGACCAAAATGGCATGATTGCTTGAGCTCAAGAGTTCAAGACCAGCCTGGTCTATAGAGTGAGACCCCCATCTCTACCAAAAATAAAAATAAAAAACTTAGCCAGGAGTGGTGGTGCACACCTGTAGTCCTAGCTAACTGGGAGGCTAAGGCAAGAGAATCACCTGAGTCCAGGAGATGGAGGCAGCAGTGGGTTATGATCAGGCCACTGCACTCCACCCTTGGTGACAGAGCAAGACCCTATCTCAAAAAGAAAAAAAAAGCCTAAATAGATGTTAGGTTGTTTTAATTATAGCTTGGCCATATAATGAGTCCCAAATTAGGATCTATATTAAATGTCCATTGATTTTTAATTACTAAAGCATGATTCTCAAACTTTAATGTGCATCAAAATCACCTGAAAAGCTAAACTGCTTTCTGGGCCCCATCCCCATAGCTTCTAACTCAGAAGTTTTAGATCTGGGGCAAGGCGCAAGAATTTGCATTTCTAACAGATCCAGACCCTGCTGCTACTGGTCCAGAAGCAACCCCACTGGAAGATGAATAAAGTGGACACAACAAATAGCATATGTTCTACTACAGGGAAGCCCACCTGAGTAGCTCTGCCAGCCCACTGTGAAATTGGTATCAAATCTATTCGAGTGTATTAATTGACCCACAAATATCCTGATTAATGAAGCTGGCTAGTTTGGCAAGGTGCATCCTAACTCTGAAAGTGATTGATTACTGTGGAGATGTGTGATGACAGATTGGCACATACTACAAGAAACATCTCTTGTCTGGTACATTATTAAAAATAATCCAGTGGGGAAATAGGACTAATTTAATTACATGCCTTTATGCAGTAAGATCTACAGTGGAAAAATAGAGGCAAAATAGCTTTAATTGCACTATAATATTCACACAAATCATATCTTGCTTCAAACATTTTTTATGCCAAAAATAGACCATATATTTATTTCACATATATTACATTTAGCCATTCAAGCCTTTTTGCCCATTAAATGTACACACCTTTACAAACCAATAAGTTTAGAAGAATTAAGCTCTTCTGATTATACATTTTTACATTATCGATCAGACAATAGCACATAAAATTTTTTTAAACTAGAAAATACTAGACAATCATGCTATTTTGAAAAGGTAGAATACTCAGTGCATTGCTTGAATTACAGAGCAAATTTCTAAATTTACTCTATGAAAATGTATTTCATATAAGTTTTATCCAAATTTTGGTTTTAGGTTTGTCAGACATATTAAATCATAATGACCTCTCTTGGAATTTTTATTTAAATAGCAAAATTTCAAAACTATGCTTTGCTAAATGTGTTATGATTAGGTTTTGGATTGCTTCCATTTTTAACCAGATAGTACAACACAAAAATATAAATTGAATTTCTGATTACAGTGCAGTTCTTTATGTGAATTAAAGAGCTTTGTTATAAATCAGAATATTTCCCTCTATTAAGCACAATAGATTAAAACATTGTGGTGACTGCAGAGAAAATACTCAATTAGCATGTAACATTAACATTGGCATGATAAAAATGTTTTAGAATGTAAAAAATTACTGGAGAACAGAGTTAAAAAGCAAAAATATATTATCCCAGTGCCAGTCTTTTGAGTAAGGTGTGATTATATATCTGAGTTGTTTTCTTTTTTTAAGCCTTGATGCATTGACAATTTTTAAATTTTTCTCCCACTTCAATGTGTTGTTTAGAAATTGAGTATACTGATAAATAGGTAATAGTTTAATTCTACTAGAAATTAAGCTGCTTACATTTAATATGGAATTCTAAAACATCTCATATAGAGAGGGTCTAAACTGATCATATTAACAGAAATTTTTCAGAAACATTAAGAATTATCCCTACACAACTACTTTAATTTCTCTGTTGTGCCACAAAAACCAAACTACTCAAATAAAACCCATTGGAGCTCTCCCAGTCTAAATGTGGTTGTAGGCTGGTCACAGTGGCTCTCACACCTGTAATCCTAAGGCAGGAGGATCTTTTGAGCTCAGGAGTTTGAGACAAGCCTGAGCAACAAAGCAAGACCCCATCTCTACAAAGAAAAATTGTTTTGATTAGCTGAGCATGCTGATGTGCACCTGTCATTCGGGGATTTGCAGTGAGCTGTGACTGTGCCACTACACTCCAGCCTGACAGTGAGACACTGTCTCAAAGAAAGAAAAATAAGTGCTTGAAATTAAATTGTATTTTTTTATTTTTTCTTTCTTTTTTTTTCATTTACCTTTTTGTTTGACTCACAGGGATTTAAGTATTCTATATTATCTTTTTACTAAACCTGTTCTAGAAATAAATTTGTCATCTCTGGAGAATATTCAGTTTTTTCAAGCTGTTTGTTGGTCTGAACCAGCGTTGCAATGATATTATTTCAGTAAAACTATAAAACCTTACCAAAATCCTTTCAGGACACTTAACTCTTAAGATTACATTACATTTCAATTAATATTAATTACTGTAACAAAATATTTGTCTCATTAAATGGTCTATTAATTTCACGTGATTTCTAATAAACTTCCAGGATAAAATGATTTGGACCATATCAGCATATGGTAGCAGTCTGACCTGTAATGCCTGTATCTTACTAAATAAATACATTTATAGTCCCCATTCTTTTGTTCTGTTTTTCTCAGCTGATGAGCAGACAAATGAAAACTAGTTATTAAATCTGTACTAGTCTCATCAACCTACCCAATAAACTGAGGCCTGACAGACTCATATCCCGTGTAACCCAGATAATCATCCAACCTGAATTTCTTTGCAATGGACATCTGCTTTTAGGGTGAATACGGAACTCTAGTTCAGTATTAGTATTTCACCAAGTTTTTAGAATGAATTTAAAATACACATGAACAAATGTTTTGACATCTGAAATTAAGTATGTATTCTTTTTACACAGTTTAAAAACCACCTACCAGTTCAGTTAAAATTGTAGGTCTATTAACACTGAATTTGTGTCACCCATGCCAGTGCAGGTACACCACATTGTTCATTCAGAGCCAAGGGATTTTATAGATTTTAAAGTCCTTTTATTTGACACACCACAAAGTCATTTAATGGAAATGAAGTAATAATGATCAAAACACTTACTAGTTAACAAGTAATTTTCAGAATTACCAAAGTTCTACGGAAGTTCAAACACAATGGTTCCTTTCTTGTCATCCGTTTGTACTTATTTATATTAAAGCATAACTCAAAAGTATATGGATACTATCCCTGAGTAACCTATAAAATGTTGGAAGATGTTTAGATGTTCTTTAGATTTTTGAAACTAAGTATTTTTTAAAATACACATGAGTAATGTAAACATTTTTGGAAATACAGTCTGCAGACAGATCTTAATTTGACTTGTATGTGACCTAGGGATATCCTCTATATAGTAACATTTGCCTTGAACTGCTGCTCCCTAGCCTTAGAAGCCTTACGCTCTCCCAAAACACTTTTAATTCAGCCGAAGGGTTTTAAAGACTAAATTCTGGCATTTGCTGAATGCTTCACAGATGATCCAGAAGAAATTAATAATAACTACAATAAGCATTCCAAATGATATTCTAAAATGAGTACTTTCTCACCAGGCATAGTGGCTAACACCTGTAATCCCAGCACTTTGGGAGGCCGAGGTGGATAGATCACGTGCGGTCAGGAGTTGGAGACCAGCCTGGCCAACATGGTGAAACCCCATCTCCACTAAAAATACAAAAATTAGCCAGGCATAGTGGCATAGGCCTGTAATCCCAGTTACTCAGGAGGCTGAGGCAGGAGAATCGCTTGAACCCAAGAGGCAGAGGCTACAGTGAGCCAAGACTGTGCCACTGCACTCTAGCTTGGGTAACAGAGCAAGACTCCATCTCAAAAATAAAAAATAAAGAGTACTTTCTGTGCTCAAAACTATCAGCTAAAACATTTCATCAAAATATGCCACTAATCAGGAAAACAGATGCCAGAGATACCAAATTTGATCAGTGGAAAACACTGATTATAACTCTACTTTTTGTGGAGTGCACATTTTAATAATTTTTATTAAAAGACACTAAGATACCTAAGATACGTGAAGCACTGTGTAAGTTTGACAGATACTAATAGACTCATTTCAGAGGCGGTAAACTTATGGACCCTTAATGTTCTCGTATGCTCTTGAAAATCACACTATTTCAAAGCTCAGTAATATGACAGATTTTTATTCAGAAATCCTTTCATATTCACCAACTGCAATTAAAAGTTTAAAGTTACATGGCTCTTAGAAACAATGTCAAACATGCAACATTTTAAGAGTGATAGATTTAAACATTAACTTTGCCCCCAGAAGTTTACTTATCAAATTATTACAACAGGAACACAAGTAGACTATAGATTACTCTTTAATTAGATTTGTTTTACAATATGTTCTTGTCAACAAGCTACTTCAAAATGTTTAAACCTGATAGAAAAGCATTTTCACAAAAACATACCATGGAGACGGAAGGAGAGGGGAAGAAGCACTTTTTCTAGAGATGGGAAATAGTCTCAGTAAAAAATTCTTATTCCTTTCTTCTAAAGGGCTCTTTCTGAACATTTTCACTTAGTTTTATTGTTCTTTAAAAAGGACTTTAAAAAGAATTTTATATTTAAAATTTTAATTTTGTTCCTTCATGAGAAGTGTGCCTACTTTCAATTTTCATAGTATCTTTGGAGTTTTCCTCTTAGGTGGTTGGCTTCTGGGTAGGGCAGACTTAGGCTGGTACACACACTCTGTAGGAAGTCTGTCTCGTGGCTGACAACATACATGTAGTGCCCATGGAAGTGAGTTAAACTGCTTTGGGAGTGACATGGGAATCAGAATGATGCCTAGAAGAGTGTAATTGGGGAAACAGCCCCAGATTTGACATTTTGGAAGCTTTCCATTACGAGAAGAGAGCCCAAAAAGAAGGAAAAAGGAGAGGGTTCCTTGGCTAAATATCATTCATCCGTACCTACTCAGTGGTCATTGTGACAAGGCCATCTTAATCTGGGCCAGAGATGACACTCTCCCCTGTAACTCAGCCTGGCTCTATCCACTAGGATGTGCCTAAATGGGACAGGTGAGGGGCACTAAACAGCTAACACTGACCAGGGGATTAAGGAGCCAAAATGCAAGTACCTCTTGAATACTACAGCAATTGCTGAGCACAGACTTGGACTGTATTTTTGAGAGAAGAGATGAAAACTATTATTAACTATCCCTTTCCACCAAAAGGAAAAACAACCCTCTTCAAGGCTTCTTTTAATGATAACGCTGAATTTATGTATGAAAATAAAATACAGGTTTAGGTGGAAAAACCCCAAGGAAACAGTAAGTCACTGGCGTGACAGGACTTGAATTCCCTGGGGACAGTGCTGTGGGGTCAGCCCCCATACTCCAAGCCCTGCTCTCCATCCCAGCACCTCAGTCAGTGTAGATAATACTGCATTTTTGCAAAGATGAAGGAATCCTGCACTTACCATCATGCTCCACTTACTCTTGTCCTAGTCATCTTACATACTCAGTCCCCACTCTCCCAGCACACTTCTCAGTGCCCACTGTCACTCTGTCATCTACAAAGCAACACACATATTAAAACTCAGATTTGTTTTTAACAAAAAAGTGCTTGAAACCACCCTAGGCAATCGTTTCTCACTTGATTTTCAACCAATAAAATCAGTCATTGAATTTATGAATAATACTGAAAAATTGTTTATTCTCTTACATTTTAAATAACATGCCTTCGTCCCCAACTTTACATGAACTGACTCATTTCAGTATCTAAATGAATTGAGCTCTCGTTTGAAAATAGAGAAGGTACAACTCTATAGAATTTTTAGGATAAAAAATGTTTGGATAGAAAAATGTTTTTGATATTTCAAAATAACACTTTTAGATTCTCAGTATAGTTTTCAATTTGGTAACTAAACTATTAAAACCCAAGGTTTTTAAAAAAATAACAAAAGATAACATGATTTTTAAATACAAAGTTATATAGGAGCCACTCATATCTGTGGATCATACCTACACAAAGTTCTCACTGGAAAATCCCTAAATATTTGTCATAAAATAAAACTCCATTATCAAAAACTCATTTAAGATAGAAATCTATGCACTTTAATGATTGCCAGAATTGCCCAGCATAGCTTCAGTGAGAGAGAATTGTCTAGAAAATACAATCTCCAAAATGTGTGCAAGTACTGCAAACCGGACAGACCGGGGCAGGGCAAGGCCCTCGAAACCAAGTCCTCCTTGAGCACCTTTCCCAGGTTAGAAATCTCTTCAGCCTGTGCTTCGCGCGTTTCCTTCAGTGTGCTGCCATTCCGACGGCACCATTTACGACCCAGTGCAGTGCTGCGTGGATCAAGTGTCAAGGGGAAAGTATGTTAGGCAAGCGCTTTTTTTAAAGCTGTAAACGCTTCACATGACTGGCCCCGTAAGAAATGTGGGAGCTTAGATGAGCCTGGAGCTTTTCAGGAACTGGATGAGGACTCTGTACACAAATGTGTACTGGCAGAGAGTCTGCACCAGCATCATTCTCTGTTGCCTCAGCATGTCCAGCAATCTCGGGATGTCCAGCACCTAGGTTGAGAGAAACATGAAGGTAATGCGTTCCCCAGGGTGTCAGAAAGGCTGGGAAGACACAAGCGTCCTAGCAGAAACCTGGTTAGGAGATGGACAGTCTCTTTTCCACCCTAGCATCTTCTAGAAATAAGCCATGATTGCCTACCTCTGATTTTCTGATCAGTTTTAAACTATAAACAGAATGTCCATGCAGACTATTTCTTCAGCTTTCCCTGGGTGTAGCTCACTGACTTGGTATGGCTGGACATAATTACCATATCTCACTAAACACCACGATTCTACAAAAACACAGCGTGCTAAGTGCTATCAATATCTATCTGTTTCCCGCAAGGGCTCTGGGCAGCATGAATCCTCCTTGAAATGTGAACAGGAAAAATGGGTTCTGAGCTCAAATTTGAAAACCTCTGGGTAAGTAAAAAAAAATTAAACAGCTTTATTTATCGTGTAACTTCTCACAGTCTTTACTATGCTAACTGGTACTGAGACTCTCCAAGAAGATAGAGCCTTTTGCAGGGAACATTAATAATGTCTTGAGGCCACCACAGTCCAAGGAAATGTGTGTAAAAAGAGCTATTAGGTCACTATGTCCCTCTCTTCCCCACCCCCTTATTTCCACCCAGAAAGGCCAGGAGATCATAAGAACCATCACCTCATTGTGTTCCAGGCAGGCAATCATGATCTCTGACAAAATAACCACACCAGTCCTTCCTACCCCGGCACTGCAGTGGACCAACAACGGAGGGTTGGGGCTTTGGGGATCACTTGTACTATTTGTATGGCGTCGAACAGACTGGATCTCTTCAAGGTATGCTGTGGAAAATCAATGAAATAGAAAAATACTCAAGGATCAAGGCATATCACATCAGTGATTGAATTTTGATGCCCTTCTCACACAAAGCACATCCGAAACAAAACACAACCCTACCCTGCTTTTTTCTCCACAGATTGAGAGCGCTGCAGATAAAGAGCACTAGGTGCCAATTAACCAAACCTAACCACCAAGGGACAGTGTGACCCTGAGCAAGTCACTACTTCTGCCCCCTTTCTCATCTACAAAATGAAATGGGGAAGATACTGAGTCAGTTGTGGCATTCTACTCAATACCAAATCATAATTTATAAACCTCTTGTTAAGCCTCCCCAAAACACTTGTATTCTGTATGTTAAAACAAGTCTGGGCCAGGCGCAGTGGCTCACGCCTGTAAATCCCAGCACTTTGGGAGGCCGAGGCAGGCGGATCATGAGGTCAGGAGTTCAAGACCAGCCTGACCAGCATGGTGAAACCCCATCTCTGCTAAAATACAAAAATTAGCCAGGCATGGCTACTCAGGAGGCTGAGGCAGGAGAATCCCTTCAACCCAGGAGGCGGAGGTTGCAGTGTGCCAAGATCTCACCACTACACTCCAGCCTGGGTGACAGAGTGAGACACCATCTCAAAACAAAAACAAAAACAAAAAAGTCCGAAGCTTATATGAGAGAACATAAAGGAAATATTTCAGAAACATAAATTTTTCTCTCAAGAGGTGGCTGTCCTGGGAACAAAGTTAAAGTCACTCACATAAAAATCCCTTGAGGTCCTCTGGGCAGCCATGCTCAGGCCAGTCTGTGTATTGGAGGTGCCAGACAGTCCTCTCTTGCCCAGTAAGGAGGTGCTTCATCTTCAAGCCCGTGGTGGCATAGCAGCCAGAGTCTGTGCGGAACCGGGTTGTGATCTTAAACCTTCCGTAGGTGACAGTGTTGTGCCTGGAACCAAGTCGTGGCCAATACCTAAAGCTCTTCTCCCTTCCACCCTCCTGTTAAAGACGAGCATGGTTAAATGACTCAAGATCCAGCAGTGGATGCCCTTCTCACACAAAGCACATCCGAAACAAAACACAACCCTACCCTGCTTTTTTCTCTAAAGGTCAGGATTCTAGAGGATGAACATTAACTGTTCTTCAGAGGCTGAGAAAATCACTTAAGAGAAATGTGTACCTACCTCTTCTGCTGTCACCATTGCTATAATTGCAATTCCCTGTTCCCATACCATCTGCCAAAAGTCTTGACAGGTATTCTGTAATGGTCCTTGTGTGGCAATATAATCCCATTCAATTCCACTAACAGAGACCTGGGATTAGAAAAGATTGAAAAAAATTGATGTGTGTGTATGATATACATAGGTGTATGCATGCATTCATGGTAGAACTAAAAAGTTTTTTAAAAAAGTAAAAAGTAGGAAAGTAAAAACTGGATTATTCAGCAGAATAAGTAAAGACTTTTAATCTTTTGTGAATACAATTTGCATTACTGACATTTTTATAAACTCAGGTACTCAGAATATACATTATATCTATGCAACCTGCCTAACCTTTCTGAATCTCAGTTCTCATTTATAAAATAAAAATCCCATCTATCTCTTAGGGTCATTGTGAGGACTAAGTATCTATGGTACCTGGAATATAACTCAAGAAGTAGCTGTTATTGCAGCCATGGTTGTTGTTCTTTTAAAAAAAACAACTTCCTACTTAAGATAGTCTCACCTCTGAACTTCTGAGTCAAGGTCACTGTCACAATAATACTAAGTTTCCCCTTAAGATTTAACTTTCTTAAGAGCAATCGAATACAACAGTAATTACTAGATTTGTAGTTAAGAGACATGGTTAAATCTTGGCTTCACCAATATTGAGTGACGACAATAACTGTCTTCTAAGCACTCACTAAATGTAAAACCCAGTGCCAAGCCTTGTGCCACATGCAGTCTCACTCAGGGCTGCCAGCCCCCTAGTCACTGCTCCACGTCATCTGAGCACCCAGTTGGCTGCCACTGTGGGTGAGTACCAGGTTATAACAGTGAATACACGCTAGGGAGGAGGAAGGGACTAATGAGAAGCCTGAAGAGTAGGTGTCATCATTTATTTCCATATAAATAAGATGAAGTTCCACAACTGGTGGGGCCACGGAGTATAAAGTGAGGTCCCACCTCATTTTAGATCTAGGAATCAGACCCAGGTCTATCAAATTCTTTCCTCTATTCTGCAGGTGGCTGCTGAAGATTTTGAAATATCACTAAAGCACTACAGTATCATTCAATTCTTACCCATCTAGTCATAAAGACTGGATGAGTTATTTCAAAGAAATGCTCAGCTTTTAAGTAAATTATGCCCATATTATATTTAAAAACAAAATAGTATGCGCATAGGTTCCCAAAAGCCATCAGTGGGTACTGGCATTCACAGGCAGACTGCCAGTCTCCAGGAAAGCCTTGGTGTCAGCTTATTCCCTTCTCAAATAATACTTGCAAACTAAATAGAAAAACCGCTACCTGTCCACAGACATTTACTCATTCACTCACCATAAGATTTCTCCTATGCAAAATAAAGAAGTGAATATGGCCAGCGTGAACAAAGGGCACAATGAGGAAGAGAGAACATCTGGCTTTATTTCATCATGTGTTGTGCATCATCATTTTGTCCATTTTCATGAGAGTGATACTACCCCAGATAAGGGGCCAAGAACACACATTGGAGGAAGGACATATATCTCTTAAATATATGGAGCCAGGAAAACTGGATATCCATAAGCAGAAAAATAAAAGTAGACCCATACCTCTCACCATAAACATCACCCCAGTTTAATGGCATTATGCTGGTTCCAAGAAAAAGCGCCTCTTCAAAGAACAAAATGATACTTAAAAATTATTATAGGGCATATGCAAAGAGAACAGATGGCACCTTGGTAAATCAAAAGCTTTGTGAACACCATCAAAAAGCTCAGATACTTTTGTTACATAAAAAGGCACGTCGGTGTGCTGAGGAAAAACTAGCAATTCAGTGGCTCCCAAAAGAATTCAGGAAGCTAAAAAGAGGTCTTCAGATTTAGAAAGACAAAGTTCTAAAGCCAGACAAGAGCAGGTCAAAGCTGCAGGGAGCCATGATCACCTCACTGCACTCCACCAGCCTGGGCAACAGAGTGAGACTCTAGCTCAAAGAAAGAAAAAGAAAAAAAGCCCAGCAAGTAAGTGTGCCCCGAATCCTGGTAACAGTATTGGAGGCAGAGTGATTTCGCACACAGAGAGTAGACATGACTTTGGCTCTGATAGTCACTTTTTATCGAGCACTGGTGTGTGGATTTCCCAGCTTGTAATACAGTTTGTCACAAATGTTCAAACCTAGGGTGTTTATCTAAAAAAATGAATTTTTATATACTTGAATTCTAAAGAGACACGAATACAATTCTTACCACTCATGTAACTTAACTGAAACTGCATGTGCTGTTTATTACATGAGGCGTTCCTCTCACCTTAATATGTGATGCATTGATGTAACCAGTATTGTTTTCTTTAGTTGGGACCAACTCCACTCTTGCATCGTCATAAGGGAGAACATCTTGGAATCGATTTCTTTCTGCATTTTCAGGGAGTCGTGCTGTGGAGCACTCTCCATCAACTAGCCGTTTCTTAAGAATTCTTTCATATTCTGTGAATACCATTCCTTGTTCTAATCGTTGTTCCAGAATTTTACACTATAAAACAGCATATGTGGAATAACATGAATACAGCCACATGTCATAACTACATTTTGACTCTATATTTGAAATATTGTTTTCTGCTTCAAACCTAGCACTTAATATTGAAAATTCTAGGTTGGGTGCAGCGGCTCATACCTGTAATCCCAGCACTTTGGGAGGCTGAGGAGGGAGACTCACTTGAGCCTAGGAGTTCGGGACCAGCCTAAGCAACACGGTGAGACCCCATCTCTACAAAAAATTTAAAACTGAGCCAGGTGTGGTGGTGCATGCCTCTTGTCCCAGTTACTTGGAAGGATGAGGCAGGAGGATTGCTTGAGCCCAGGAAACTGAGGCTATAGTGAACCATGAGACCCTATTTCAAACAAAACAAAACAAAAACAAAAACAAATTCTAGGTGAAAACAAAGTTAAAATTTTAACAATCCACAACAAAAGGAGTTAAAAGAAAAAAGGACAATCATTTTGGTGAGAAACATAATGCAAAGTTGTGTTTAAAGTTGAAAATTAGCCTAAAGAAACTTGTTGAATTCATTTTCTCTATATCTGTGGTCAGTTTTGTGACCCCTAATAGATGGAATTCTCCTGGAGAACAGTAAATCTAGGGGACAGATAATCAGTTCCAGTATCTATAAACAAATGTTTCCATTTTATATCATATGATACATAAAAGACTAAAGCAGTAAGAAATATTGGAAACTACCTCCAAGACCCTGTTGTAAGGCAAATGTATGCCTATCTCATTTTGATATAATAAAACCTCATAGAAAATACATCTCAGGCACAAAGGAAGTTTGAAAAATTGAAAAACTACTCTCGAGATAAACTCTCAACATAATAAAATTCAATGTCTGCTGTCTTTCTAATGGATGCTCCTGTATTTTTGTAGATTTCTTCTCACTTTAAGGCCATCAAAATCAATACTGCCAGGAGAAGGTAAAAAAGAACATTCAGAAACAAACACACAGAAAAATCAGCATTTAAACCTGAAATTATCTATTAAGACATTAGCTATAATTTGCCCCAGTTCTGAGGCCCATATTACAAAATTCCTTAACACTCATTTATTATTACTAAACTGTTAGAAAATTCACCAAAATTTCATGAAGGAAATTTTGCCTAGTATTTATCGGTTGTCCCAGAGAAGGCACAAAGCCCCGTGTGTCCCATACGTACCCTTTCATCATTCGTTGCTCTGGTAGGCACTTCCTTTCCTTCATCAGGCAGAGGCACTCGAGATAGGGAGAGTCCATTTAGGGCAGCCAGTTTAAGAGGACCAATTTTTTTTGCATCTACTCGAGTCTTTTTCATTCCCTGTAAAAGGATGTATATGTATATGTGAAACATACACAAACACAACCCCGTGAAAAGAAGTTTCAATGCACTGAAGACCAGGAACAAACAGAGGGAGTGTTCTCCTTGGATTACACTCCTTCACACACTTGTTTAACGAAACATTAGTAGGAAGACATTCCTTTCAAGGCCAAAGCCCTGATAAGTCTTCCAGATAGAAGGTTTTGAAATGCAATTGGTTACAAAGTTGTTGTAATGAAAGGTGAGGCTCCAGGCAGACCGCATTCCTTTTAAAACAAGACACACATAAAAAATCAGCTGCAGTCCACAAAAAAAGCTTTAAATGCAATCATTTGACTATAAGCTTATATATATGGGGGGGGAGGGAGGGGGGTGTCTCACTCTGTCACCCAGGCTGGATGGAATGCAGTGGCACCATCATAGCTCACTGCAGCCTCAACCTCCAGTCTCAAGCATCCCACCTGAACCTCCTGAGTAGCTGGGACTACCAGCGCATGCCACCATGCCCAACTAATCTTTGTGTTTTCTGTAGAGATGAGGTCTCACTATGTTGCCCAGGATGGTCTTAAACCCCTAGACTTAAGCAATCCTCCTGCATTGGCGTCCCAAAGTGCTTGCGATTACAGGTGTGTGCCACCATGCCTGGCCAGCTTTTACAATTTTTAAAATATATAAACTTTTTAAGTCATTCTGAAAAAAATCAAATGCTTTCTGCAGCAGCCCCCTTTGTGTGTTGAAGCTCCCTCCCCATATCCCGCTCTATGTTCTAGTGCAGACTTGGATGACCCACGTTACATCATGCTACCTCTCAGAATGGCTCCATTTTAAAGGAAAATAAAACAGGGCTAAAATCTCCATCATGACACCCAGAGGACAGGACAAAAGAGAAAACATCAACAAAATCCTGTCTCCTGAAAACAGGCATTTCCCAAAGTTATTATTAGGGCATGATTTTCCTCTCTCTGAGAATCATAAGCCTAAGAACACTAAGTTGGCCGGGCCTGGTGGCTCATGTCTGTAATCCCAGCACTTTGGGAGGCCAGGAGATCCAAACCATCCTGGCTAACACGGTGAAACCCCGTCTCTACTAAAAATACAAAAATTAGCTGGGTGTGGTGGCATGCCCCCTGTAATCCTAGCTGCTCAGGAGGCTGAGGCAAGAGAACCACTTGAACCCAGCAGGCGGGGGTTGCAGTGAGCTGAGATTGCCCCACTGCACTCCAGCCTGGCAACAGAGCGAGACTCCGTCTCAACAACAACAACAAAAAGAACATTAAGTTTCCTTGGATATAACTACATTTCCTTGGAAACCATCAATATAATGAGAGTAGCCCCAGTGTGGAAAAAAATGGTTTTCTCTGTTCTGCCCTGTAAAGAAAATCAGTGTTATTCCAGCTCTCTCATTCTGTGACAGGCCATGAAGCCCCATGATAATGGAGCAAGAACACAAGGAAAAGGCATCTTGGTAAGAGCGAGAAAAATGCTAAAAGATTGCTGCTGTAACTGGAGACTATGGTATCTAACTCAAAAAGCTAAGTGGATTAATTTTTAATTTTCTAATTCATATTTGATCATGAGCTCCCCACATAAGGCAGTCTAGACTAGAAACTGGCAGAGCCCTGGGTTCACGGCCAGCTTCTAACTGACCAACTTCTTTCAGGCAAGTCACTTTTCCTTTCTAAGCCTCATCTAGACCGAAAGAGACAGACACATACATACACACTAAAAAGTTCCTGCTTAGCTAAAATTTCATGATTCTAGCATGTGCAGAAAACAGTGATGTGCTAGTAATGTTTAACAACTGGCTCTTGGAAGGCAGTTCTAGTCGGTGTTTACCCATATCCATGGTGTAAATACTTCCATCACAGCCAGTTTCAAACTGTTAACATCCTATCAATTGGCTCACAAGATTTCTGAAAATTTAAGTGATGCTTGCCAGCCAATATGAGCTAGCTCTGGCACTTCTCTGCCTGAAAATGACTCAAAATATCCCACAATGGGACACGCTGGATAAAGCTGATTGGCTGATTGTCAGTTCAAAAGCCAGTATTGGAAGAATGTTGTATGTAGTCAAAACTTGCCTTGAATATGCCTTAATTAGCACTTACAAGTACAGGCTTTTAATGTATACCCTGCACAGTAATTTCTTATGTGAGAACAACTGCACGAAACTAAAGAGTACAATAGAAAGAAAATCTTCAGGTAGATGTATGAGCACCCAAACCAGTCTGCCTTTGAGATAACAATCAGGTCACTGGAGGTGGAGATGGGTGGAGAATCCCAAAATCATTCCTTCTTGTTTGCAGTTTATTTCATTCTTTTTAATACTAAACCTCCACAACCTTAATTCACATTAGGAAATTTCTTTGTTGTAACAATGAAGATAATGGCAACCCCATGTTACTATGAAAGGTCAGAGGGTACAACAGGGATTGGCCTCTTCCGCTCTTGAAAGCCATTAAGTTAAATGTATGAAGCAACCTCACAGTCATATGTTAAGACTGACTAAGCACTTTCAATGTGCCAGAACTTCATTTTATTCCCCCAACAACTCTCTGGGTCCTCTCATTTACAAATGTAAAAACTGAGTCACAGATTGTCTGAGGTCACATGGCTGTCTCTTTTATAAGGTAATCAGTGTCAAAACAAATAAAAGCAAATCTTTCATTAATAAAAATCAGTTCTGCTGAATCATATAATTCAGGAGGCATTTTTTCAAGTCTAACTGGATGTGGGACATAATGCCACGAAGCAGGCAGAGCAGGGATGGCCGCTCGTGATCTGCGGTTATCTGATGTGGAAGCTGAGGTTCTGACGCATGAAGAGTCCTGACCACGTCACAGAGAACTCACAAATGGCAGGCAGGCTCTAGACTCAGGCCCAAGGTTCTTAACATGTAGGACCTTTTGCTCTTTCCCCATGACTGCAGCTGCATACCCTTTCTTTCAGTAGAATCCTTTAAGAAAAAAGGACCAAAAACATAATCCAGTCACATAATTTTACGAATATTGTGGTCTTAAAAGTCAATGGAAGAGAAAAATTCTTTTAAGAAAATCAAATCGATCCAAGTCCTCAGATTTAACTGAACCTACCAGGCCCCATTCAATACATAAAGGGATAAAATAGGCCTGAGCACTGAGCTGTACTCGAATATGATTTGTGGAAAGTACCTGAGTCACATATAAAAACAGACCGTTCTTAATGCAATGGGAAGAGTGTTAACTATAAAAGGACCTTGTCCAGCTGGCTCAGGGACTCTGGTAGAGTTACTCTGGAAAATCTACCCACACCTTATCCCTGAATCACTCCTCCCTGCACTCTTAAATCTGTATCCACTGAAGGCAATGACCTTTACTGTTCAGGTAAGTGAGTTATATAGTACACTTGTGAAAAATGTGAAAACCAACTTAAAATTCAGACCCAAAACTGATTAAAAGAAAGCAAATTTAAATCTGTGGCACTTTTTAAGTAGTTTTTCTCTATTTATATTAATCTCATAAGCACTATAATAGCTTGAGTTTTTTCCTGCTTAGAAAGGCGTGCAGCATTTTAAAGGATCTTGCACACTAGACCAGAACCACATTGAGATGAGCCCTCTTGTCTGAGTTTGCAGTCTAGCAGCGAAGAGGCAAGGAGAACCCTAGTTTCCAGGACAGTGGAAGCCAACAGGAGAAAGGATGGATGCCCAGGACAGGAGTAGTGAAGATGGGGCCATGAAGAGCTGGATGCCTAAGCACTGCAGCAAAGTAACTTAGTGTGGACACGCTTCAGGACAAAGCTACAAATATTTAGTCACGAGTTGAGGACTGAGTTTAAAAGTTTCAGTGAGAGACTAGCAAGGCTAGTCATAATTCAACAAACAGTTATGACTTAATAAAATATACACAGTATACCTCAGTGCAGAACATACATCTACAATGTAGATGATAACAGAAGAGGTTGCAGAGACAAGTATGGGTTTAAAATTCCAGTTCAGTAACTCACTAGTCATGTGACCTTGGAAAAGTTAGTTAATATCTAAGTCTGTTTCTTCATCTGTAGAACAAGCAATAACAACAGGCTTACTGTAAATAAGCCAGGAAAGTCGAAGTGTATGGCCCATGGTAAATGCTCCAAGAATGGCAGCTAGAGATGATGCTGTTATGCTTTTTTATATTTTGCTTCAAGTAGGTTAAAAGTGCTTAAATCCTATTTATTTATTACACTGAATAGTAAAGAACTGCATCTTCCACAAGGGACTTTCCTGATTCTCGGCTGAATTCTTCTTTCTTTTAAATTTAAGAAACCAGAACATCTCAGGATTTGCCTTGACAGAGTGCCACCTTCCCAACTCCAGAATCACTCTGAAGAATCACGGCCAAGATATGTAAGCTGAATCCACACATACTCCAACCTGGAGAATTATATTAGGGCTGAGAACACGTCCCTGTATACTCCTCTCAGATATCTCTCGAGCAAACTGAACAAATGCACCCCTAGGGTGCCGCATCACCCACAGTACTTTTAAAGGGCGACTAAAGCAATCCTGGTTAAAGTTATGTAATCTTAACTGTCTTTTCCTTAATACTGCATTACTAAAACATTTCATTCATCTTTTGCATTCCTTTCCACAAAGCCCTGTGAATTTGCCTTTTCACTTCATCTATAGTAATTCATTATCTTCATTAAAACTACTAAAATTCAAGCGGATCGCCATTTCACATATAAAGTTACATGTATTCAAAAAAAGACAAAAAGAGAGTGACATGGGGGAATGAAGAAAGTTAAAAGAACAAGAGGAGCCGAAAAGCATGGGAAGCGATGAGGGAAAGCACCGCCAGGGCAGAAGCATGGAGCGCCCGTCGAAGGCGCGGTTCCCTGCTTGCACTACTCTCCGAGCGACTTACCCCCAGGGGCGGGAGCCCTTCCACGATGTTCTTTTTCCCAGAGAGGAGGTCCGACACTGGCCTCTTCTTCAAAGAGTCCCTCCGGGCACGGTAGCGGCCCGACGTGGTGAGGTCTGACTCTGACATGGAGGGAGTCAGCAGCCCGTCTCTCCGGGGCCGCTGGGCCTCTGCTGTCATGCGGACTGGGCTGCTGTCCGTTGTCCTCTTCTCTGCATCCAGGACGTGGACCTTGGGCTCGAGGATGTGCAGGGGCCTGGCGAGCAGGGAGCGGGGGCAGCGGGGTGGGTCCTGGGCCAGGCCCGGCCGGGGCTCGCCGGCACGTGCAGGGGGCGCTCGGGCCCCGCTCTCCTCCTCGAAGTCCTCGTCCTCGTCCTCCTCGCTGCTGTGGATCAGCATGGTGGCGTCCGACAGGGACTTCTTATGGCCGTATCTCAAGCCCTCCGGCTCCTCTGGCCCTTCCCGCTTTGTCCGCTCGGCAAAAATGCTGGGCTGGGAGCCCGCCGAGAGGGCTCGCGGCGCCACTTCCGCCGCCGACGCGGACAGGGTCCGCTCCTTGAGCCGCAGGCCCTCCAGGCCGTGGCTGAGCCCGGCCACCTCGATGCTGTTCCGCTTGTGCAATTGCGCGTGGCGCGCGGCGGTGAGGGGCTCGCTGACCTCCTGCAGGGAGTGCGCCACGGGCAGGCTGTCCTCCTGGAACGTCTGCACCGAGTGGTGCACACGCCGCGTGATGAGGTCGGGGTTGCTGCTGCTTATGTACAGATGACGGGACAGGTCGGGCGTGCTGTTGGCGGGCCGGGGGGGCGGATAGGGCGGGGGCGGCCGGTACACCTGCGTCCGCATGATGTTGGGGGCCGGGTAGTCCTGCGCCTGCAGCTGTGCGTTGGTCAGCTCGGGCACGCTGACCGCGCCCACCACGGGCCGCCGCTCGGCGGGGTAGGGGTAGGGAGACGGGCTGTGGAAGCTGTAGCTCAGGCTGAACGGGCAGTGAGCGGCCGGCGGCGAGGGGAGCTGCGCGTGCTCCCGGATCTCGGGCTGGCTGTAGACCAGCGCCGCGGGCCGGCTGTAGGCGTACGAGCTGCCGATGTTGAGGTTTCGCAGCGAGTGGCTCTGCCGTTCCGCATGCACCAGGCCCCGGTTGAGCTGCTTCATCACAGTCTCATAGTCTGGGGTGGGGCGGTAGGACGGGGGTATCAGAGCGCTGTGCCGATGGGATGGGACGTAGTCGGGCCTCATGACGTCACTCCCGGTGATGCTGGGGTTGGACGACATCGGCGAGGCCTGCAAGTAGGGCTGAGGATTATTTAAGGAGTTGGTGCTGTGCGCACTGTAGACACTGCCGTTACGGATCCGACCGTTGAGGTCAATCTGGGCTCTATCCAAGCTTGTCTGAGAGTGACAGTAGTATCCGTTCTGGTTGGGCACAAAGAGGTTATCTAGAAAAAATGAGTTCCAAATGAGATTTTTTAAAATTGGACTAATTACTCCAACCAAACATTGAGATCAGCCCTTAACCTCTGATGACACTTTTAACACAGATTTTAAAAATCCATGCTAAAATGACCTAGCTTTGGCCACAGGCACTGAGTGACCCTGGCAGCTTCGGCTTCCTCCTCTATAGGATGGGGATGGTTCTGCCTGCTTAAAGGGTGGCATTCATTGGGTGACAAAGTGAGACCCTGTGTTAAAACACACACACACACACACACACACACACAACCAGACTAGCAGAGTTTTTGGAACTCTGGGGAAGTTGGAGGCAGAGATACCATTCAAGGCACTGAGCCGGGGACCTTGCCTTCCTTCCCTGGGTAGGGATGTGGCCTTGCTGCTGCTGAGTCAGTTCAAGCACCGGCTGTCTGTAAGCATTTCCTTAACTGGGATTTTTGGATTGTTTGTTCTTCCCAAATGAACATGAGAGCTTTGACTGTAAAGGGTAATGGTATGGCAGGATATGAGCGTCCAGCACAGCAGCACTGTGTCACCAGCAGCCACACAGCCCATAAAGTGTCCAGAAGCCAGGAGGAGCCATACTAAAACAGCTGCAGCTGCCTCCTGCCCTGGCCCCCATGTTTCAGGAAGATCCAGACCTACGGCTAACAATCAATTTAACATCATCTTACAGTAGCTCTGCATGTGTCCCTGCCCAAGGATGACAGGGGCCATGTTTCTTCCAATTTGTAGTTCACTTGCCATCTGTTACCGAGAGTGCTTTCTAACACTAGAAACTCAGCAGCCAAGTCCTTCAAATAACAATTTCCTCTGAAAGGCATTCTTTTAGTGCTTCACAAGCTCCGTGATGGTTTAAGTGGCCATGTGATACTTAGGTGATACACCACAATCCAGGGGTTACACTTTACTCTGGTGGGACATGCGGCTGTGAGGAAACAGCACTCAAACTTCCATGGTATTTCTTCTGCTGACACACAGCACTTCCTTGTCACTATGCTTTCCTCGTCTATACAAAGCTCCATTATGGTTCCACCTCTGCAATCCCCCTTTTCTCACTGCTGTCACAACTCGGGCCCCGACCCCAGCTTGTCTGAACTAGCTCCATATCCACGTAGTCTCGTTGCTTCTGCACCACACAGACCAGCCAGTCATCTATAAGACTGATAGGTGGAAAAGGCAATACTGAGAACAGAAGGGGGAAAAGGTGGCTAGAATACAGGCAGGAAAAGGGGAAAGGTATACATGAAATCACTGTAATTCAAGGAAGAGAGAAAAGGTAAAGGGTTACAGGAGTCTAGAGGAAGGAATGGTCATTTCCAGCCTGGGTTGGGTTGATGGGGACAAGAAAGAGAGAACCAAGAACCACCTCACAGAAGATATGGCAGTCAAGGGGACTTGAGGGGCAAGTGGGTGGGGTAGGCATGTGCAGCTTCCATCAGAAGTGAGGTCTCTCGACCTCTCAGAGTAGGCGAGATCATGTCTCCTCACCCCTTGATATCAGATACAGCAATGCGACCAGTAATGGTCAAAGGAAAGTGCACAGAGGGTTAAAAGCCAGCTTCCAGGCTCTCTTCCACTGCAACCCTGACCAACAGCATTCCAGAGAGAAGAGGCTCTCCAGCTCAGGCCCCTAAAGCAGACCCATGGGGCAGAGCCCTCCTGCTAGTGCAGTGTGCGATGGACAGGTGACCCTTGCTACCACCTCCCTGAGAGTTTGAAATGGAATGTTTGGTCAGCACAGCATAACCCTGCCTATCCGGTCTGGATGGCAGCATGCAAATGGAAAAGTGCATTGGGTAAGGGCACTTGGGGGGGCAGAGTAGCACCGGCAAAGCCAGGGAGCACCCATGGGCAAGCTGGGGTGGCTGGAGTGTCAGATTGCTACAGAGGAGTAAAATAACTTGGGAAGTAAAGTTTGAAGAGCAGGCTCAGGGAATATTGTATGGGGTCCCGAACACTAGGCAAAAGAATGAACCTCTGGCCAGGCATGGTGGCTGATGGCTATAATCCCAGCACTTTGGGAGGCTGAGGTGGGCAAATCACCTGAGGTCGGGAGTTCAAGACCAGCCTGACCAACATGGTGAAACCCCGTCTTTACTAAAAAATACAAAATTAGCTAGGTGTGGTGGTGCATGCCTGTAATCCCAGCTACTCGGGAAGCTGAGGCAGGATAATCGCTTGAACCCGGGAGACAGAGGGTGCGGTGAGTTAAGACTGTGCCACTGCACTACAGCCTGGGCAGCAAGAGCAAAACTCCGTCTGTGCTTTCCATACAGGTGCTCCCCTGTCACAACAACCTATCAGACAGTTGGAAAGGTGGGGCTGGAGCCCAGGATTGATGACGAGGGATGTGGGGATGCTGGGAGCCTCAGAGAGGGCCACTTTAACAGAGTGGCAAAGGCAGAGGAGTGAGTGCATAACCAACAAGCAGAAGCAGCACACAGAGGGGTCAGTGAGAAAGGAAAGAAAATCACTCAAACCATCATTTAAAGAGAGGACAGCAAACAATATTAAGATGCTTATAGACGGAGGGCAGAGAATGAACGGCAGAGTGAGACTAACAATGCAGAGGACAGCCAGGTCCCAAAGTAGGAGGGGCCAGGACTGCAAGTACCAGACAAGGGCAGGGCGCAAGGAGGATGGGGGGCAGTACAAGAACATGATTAGGGGGACGCTCTCGGGCTCTACACCCAAAGCCCTGCTCCCTACTACTCACGTTGCTGTATGAAAATCCTCATCTTTACAACAGGGCCGACACAAACAATATAGTCACGTCCTACCTTCTGGTCCCTTCATCCATCACTCCCTACAGTTCCTTACCTGAGAGGGAACCTGGACCACTTGACTCTCCACACACCCACTGCTTCCTTCTGGGCATGGCATTCGCTATCCCCACAACCAGGAACAGCAACCCCGGTCAAGTCCCTGGCTTTCTACCTGCTGAAATCCACCCATCTTTTCAGATCCAGAAAGTGGATCTCGTCCCCAATGTGATGAGTCTCTCTTCCGTTGAAGAGCATGGTAACTGCACATGCTCTCTCAGAAAACCTATCATATTCAAGTTATTTTTGCCAGGAATGGTGGCTGAAGCCTATAATTCCAGCACTTAGACAGCTTGAGCCCAGGAGAGTGAGACCAGCCTGAGCAATATAGCAAGACCCCATTCTCCACAAAAAAAGGGGTTGGGAGAGAAAGACAAAGTTATTTGTGCACTTGTCTTATCTTCAACTATCAGATTCTACTGTTTTTTTTTTTAGATAGTCTCCCTCTGTCATCCAGGAGGGAGTGCAGTAGCACGTTCTTGGCTCACTGCAACCTCCACCCCTACCTTGGGCTCAGGCGATCCTCCCACCTCAGCCTCCTAAGTAGCTGGGACCATAGGCACATATCACCACACTCATTTTTTTTTTTTGGTAGAGACAGGGTCTGGCCCTGTTGTCCAGGCTGAAGATAAGCTTCTTAAGATGTGAAAGTACTCAGCTGCATAAACCTCCTTAGCATTTGGTATAGCCCCATAAAGAAAGAGTATAGAGTAAACGTTAACTGACTGCTTAAACTTCAGCTTTGGAATTTGTTATAAATAAAATTCCTTATATTTCTCAGTGAAAACTGCAGTAGTCACGTGTTTAACTTTTACAATAGGAAAGCCTTTGGCAGGGGAAGAAAAGTAACCCAGGGAATTCTTTGCTAGGTAGCAAAGAAGCACTTAAAGGCTATTAGGGTGGTGGTAAAAGGACACAGGAACCAGCTTGATAGTTCCCCATTGTACAAATTTGAGATCAGTGGAGCATCAAAATTTGCTACTGCAGTTTTTTACATATACTGAAGAACCTGAATATACGTGGTGGCTCACACCTGTAATCCCAGCACTTTGGGAGGCCTAGGGGTCGCAGATCACCTGAGCTCAGGAGTTCAAGACCAGTCTGGCCAACATGGTGAAACCCCATCTCTACTAAAAATACAAAAATTAGCCAGACATAGTGGCGCATCTATAGTACCAGCTACTTGGGAGGGTGAGGCACAAGAATCCCTTGAATCCTGGAGGTGGATGTTGCAGTGAGCTCAGACATGCCACTGCACTCTAGCCTGAGTCTCCAAGAAAAAAACCTGATTATACTGGCTTCTTTTATGAATCCAGGATAGCTATTATCATGTTAGCAATTTGGGGTGCAACTTCAGTCAAAAACTATCCAGACCTCACAATCTCCAAGCATTCACAGGTTTATCCATAGTAATAAATATGTCAGGTATGGCAGAAACAGTGCACTTTACCTTGGGAAGAAGCATATGGTTCTGTGTAATGTCCATTATAGTGTAGCTGTGGAGGGGGAGGCATCACGTAGGGCTGGGGTTTAGGCTAAGAAATGGAGAGTTGGACACGGTTAAAACACATTGCTTACATAATACAGGTAAAAGTTATTATCCACTGGATTCTTTCTGTTAAAAAAAAAACTTCTACAAGAATTAAATATATATGGAAAATAAACATGAAGACATAGTAGTTCTTACCATATCTAGCATTTTATATTTCCCCAAATGGCAATGCCGAGCCCTATGATTGACCAAGGAAGGACATTAGGTAGCACAAGAAAATCTGCATCCAAAAAGCTAAGAGCAAGAAGGAACACACACATTTCCTTCTGTAAACATTTGAACATAAGCAGCTTATTATTACAGTCAACGTAATTATAGTCATCTAATATCTTAAATATACCAACTTATGATTACTCTTGGCCAGTAGTCCAAGTTCTTAATATTAAGGTCAGACCTAATACTCAAATATGTATAATATAAATATTAGGTTGGACCTATAGTAAAAAAAAAAAAAAAAAAAATCACCATTTCTTTGGCTAAAAATGATGAAATAATCAGTACACTTGTATGGTTCGGACTCAAAATTAACACTATCAAAAGCATATTTTGTTAAGGAAAACATCACTAAAATATAAAAGCAATCATATTTTCCTTTTCTCTTACCAGAGACATCCTTGAAGAAGACCTCCTCCTGATTGGGTTCCCTGTGACAGTCTGAGTTGGCCTATAAAATAGGATGTCTCTGAGAAGGGCACATACACACTCTCTCTCAAACTCCACCAAAACAAGATACAGGAACATAAAATAATAAATATTCTAAGGCAAAAAAAAAAAAAAAAAAAAAAAAGACAAACTAACTGAGTCATGAAGTCAGAGAAAAGGGAGGTTCTCTGTCAGCCCATGGAGCCTCAGCCCTTCCCTGCTGCCCCAACCCCTCAACCTGCCCTGTGATTTCAGGCTCCCCACAGAGCATCATCACCTGGACCCCCAAAGGGATCAGAGTATCTTTCCCAGGCCCATCCAAGTAAACCTTTGGATTAGCCATAAGCAGGGGGGAAAGCAACAGGGCTACATCACCCACACCTTTGCTGTGGGAGAAGAAGGATTCAGTACAAATGTGTCTCTCCTATGTGCTGGGGGAGCCCTGGGTCTCTCCACTAACCCTCCTCCCAGGGGTGACCATCCACTGTCAACCCAGAAACCTCAAGCAGTAAGAACTGCCTTTCATTCAAAGTCTGTTAACTACACACTACAAACATAATAAAGAGATGAATTTATCATTTTAGTGACAAGAATCTACATTTACAGGTTTGTAAGCACGTTCCTGTAGTCCCAGCCTCTTGGGAGCATCTTGGGCCCAGGAGTTTAAGACCAGTATAGACAACATAGTGAGACCCCATCTTTTAAAAAAACTCCAATATAAAAAATTTCAAACACTTCTATTTTTTAAATCTACATTTCCTCTAAGGAACAAGGGAGAGCAAAGCACAAGCTGTGGTTCAGTGAGTGGATGGTAAACTCATTTACCTTTCTTTGCCAGAAATTTCTGATCTGTTTTAAGTATACTTTGTAAAAAGCACCTAGGGCCAGGCGCAGTGACTCACACCTCTAATCCCAGCACTTTGGGAGGCCAAGGCAGGTGGATCACCTGAGGTCAGGAGTTCAAGACCAGCCTGGCCAACATGGTGAAACCTCATCTCCACTAAAAATACAAAAATTAGCCAGGTGTGGTGCTGCGTACCTATAATCCCAGCTACTCAGGAGGCTGAGGCTGGAGAGTAAAGTAACTTGAACCTGGGAGGCAGAGGTTGCAGTGAGCTGAGACTGCGCCATTGCACTCCAGCCTGGACGACAAGAGTGAGATTCCATTCTCAAAACAAAACAAAACAAAACAAAAAAGCAGCTAAAAGTATTAGGGAGTGCTGATGAACACTTATGTGATAATTTAAGATTTTAAACTATGTGCACAACAAGTTCTACCTTTAAATAAACAATAAGGTTAAAAAAAAAGGAACAACAGAAACGCCCATTCGTAACCACTGTTTTTAAATAAAGGCAAGATTTTTTTTCTTCCGTGTGGTCAGTTTTACTGCAAATAAGATCTAGGAACCTAAACCCATTGGATTCTTGGCTTTGTTGGTGACATGTAGTTTTGTCAAAGCACTTTTTCTTAAACCTTTTACCATCTATTCCTGGCTCATGTGCTTATGTAAAACATAATTACTGATTGCGAAAATATTTCGTGACCTTTGGTTACAATGTTCTAAGGACGAATTACTAGAAAATCCATCATGACAAAGTGAACATTCAATCTATTTCAGCCAATTTACCATATCAAGCCTCATGTCTCATAAATTCACATTATTCTTAGCACTCTGATAACTAGTATCTTATATTCAAAAACCCTGAATGTTACCATATTTTTATAAGACTCTTGAGCTAAAAAGAAAACTAGTACATACTAGTTTTAACATCAGGTTATTACAACTGCTTTTAATAGATGACTTTTGTAAATAATTTCATTTTTTGTTGCTACTGGAAAGTATTCAAGGCTGCTGATGAAAAAGAAACGTCTCTTTTCCAAAAGATGTCCCATTCTTCCAGTATTTATTTTGGTGAGACGAGTCTGCATGGTGTGCCTGGGCTCGGAAAAAAAAAATACTCCTTAACTGCACATTAATATATTTCTTAAAATTAGTACCCACAAATTAGCCAGGTATGGTGGCAGGCACCTGTAGTCCCAGCTACTCGGGAGACTGAGGCAGGAAAATCGCTTGAACCCTGGGGGCAGAGGTTGCAATGAGCTGAGATCAAGCCACTGTACTCCAGCCTGGGCAACAGAGACTCCATCTCAAAAAAAAAAAAATTAGTGCCCAGAATTTGAAGACGCTGCATTTGCAGCCTTGAAATTTACTTTGTCTCTGGTTATTCTTCATCGTCAGGGATAGGTTTAGGCAAACTGGGTCCTTTAAATGTTGTGTTCAGTCTAGCAGAGACTCACTGTCTAGATGGAATGAATTTAAACTTTTAAAGTACTATATAAATTCAAAAGGGTTGCTGACAGAATTCTCTGTCAACGAACTCCAATAACATGTCCACAGTTGCCCAGCCTAGGGCAAAAGCAAAACACGAAAGCCAAGGATGCAGAGCTTATCACACGGCGGCACTCCCACACTGATAGCGATCTTGGCGCTGCCGGCAGCACCCAGTGTGGAGGCGAACACGGCCCACTGCAGCTCTACTAACAAAACAAACTACAAAAGAATGTACCTGCCGAAGTGCTTGACCCAGGCAGCCTCGCCATCAGTTCTAAGGGGCTAACCTTCTTTTTCTTCTTGGCACTGTTCTTATAAATGCAGTTTACTCTGAGATCAGCTGTCCTCAACTTGGCATACAAGAGAAAACCATCTAACTGTTGCTTGTGGTTTCCAAACTTTCTGGGCAGTCACTGTGTTGATGGGTGCTGCTAAATAACAGAATAAATCACTAGAACATGTGCACCAAAGAAGACAAAATAAAAACGAAAAAGGCTGAGCCAGGCATGGTGGTGACTGCCTGTGTAGTCCCAGTGACTTGGGAAGCTGCGGCAGGAGGATCCCTTGAATCCAGGAGTTGATGGCTGTAGTGCACCATGATCATATCTGTGAATTGCCACCATACTCCACCTGGGAAACTAGGATGCTAGGACCGTGTTTCTTAAAAAAAAGAAGAAAAGAAAAATGGCTGCCAGCCCAAGTAAAAATCAGTATTATTTATTGAAACTGTGCTAAGGACTGTACATGATTATCTCATGGAATGTGAACACCAACCCCATGAGGAAGGTCCAGTTATTATCCTGATTTTACAGATAATGAAAGTGATATGTAGGTTAAGTCAGTTGCTCCTGGTCACATGGCAAACAAGTAGTAGAACCGGCATTTGAACCAGCATGTCTGTCAGATTCCTGAGTGTAGGTCTCTAACAATCATGTGTCCAACCTGTTCCCCAGACCCAACTAATCTATAAGCCCCGTGGAGGCAAGATGTGGTATCCCTAGTGCCTTTGTTGAGCAAATGAATGACAAGCAAGTGAGGACTAAAGCGATGCTTATTCCTAAGCATTTACAGCTAAGCTTGTATTTCTAAGCCTTATCTGAATCCTGCTTTCTAAGTTCCCTTTCTTATATGATGAAGGGGAGTCAGATTTTGACAAACACAAAAATGCATTGATAGTTCATGTACTGGATAGATAGTTCAAGAAATAGATTCCTTCCTGTAATCCCAGCTACTTAGGAGGCTGAGATGGGAGGATCGCTTGAGGCCAGGGGTTTGAGACATGCCTGGGCAATATAACAAGACCCCATCTCTAAAAAGAGAAAACAAAAATTAGCCAGGCATGGTGGCACATGCCTGTAATCTTGGCTACTCTAGAGGCTGAGGGCTAAGGCCAGCTTTCCAGGCAGGGCCTACTCCATGCAGTCTCTGGATTACAAAAGTCTCCAGAACCAAGATGGACACCAGCTGCTATGTTCATCAACAGCCCCGAGCTGCAGGCAGCACTCTCCAGCCATCTCACTGTGCTCAGCAAGTGGTCTGCTGCACCCTGGAATACAAGTTTCCCCTCTGGAAAAAGTCTCTCGAGCCCTCTATCACTTGGCTTTGCAGGTTCAAGGATACCAAGGAGACCATTCTGGCTAACATGGCAAAAGCCTGTCTCTACTAAAAATACAAAAAATTTGCCAGGCATGGTGGCATGTGCCTGTAGTCCCAGCTACTTGGGAGGCTGAGGCAGGAGAATCACTTGAACCTGAGAGGCAGAGGTTACAGTGAGCCGAGATCGTGCCACTGCACTCCAGCCTGGGCAACAGAGTGAAACTCTGTCTCCAAAAAAAAAAAAGGCACTAACACCAACAAATATGGATACATGGATGCCTCATGGAGAGGGATTGTATTTTATGGTTTATTCAAAATGTAGATTCTCCACTATTTTCCAGTATTATGAATACTCTTAAACTTGTTAAAGCCTTTAAAATAAAAATTCTGTGGTCCAACAGAATGCGTATCTACTGCTTGAAACTTAGAACTTACTTCTGCACAGAAATCACACCACAAACGGCTGGATAACCAGGCCAGCAAAGGGGAAGGCAACTAGCCTGGGCTAGTAACACTGCTGACTATCACCACCAGGGGGAACACTTTCATATCCAAATACGCCCAGGCAGCTAGTGGAAACCGCTTTACAAAGAAAGCAGGTTCCTCCTCCCTGCCAGTGCCTACGAACATCCCATCACCAGACCAGCAGTGGGGACTCAGATGCAAACAGGGTGCAGGAGAACGCTGGGAAGAGACAGGGACTGGGCCACAGGTGCAAACCACTGGGCAGCTCCCTGTCCAGATGGGCATCCCTGCGTGTTCTTTACACTGCTGCTCCTGCCCAGAGTTGCTCACACCTTGTAAGACAGAAGGCACTTCCACACAGCCTTTCTCCTTCCTTCCTAGTGGTAAGGGACAAAATGCCCTTGTCAGACTTTCCCTCCACCCTATGCCTCATTTACAACCTGTAATAAAGGGAAGAGACAGGAGCAAAAGGGCTGTTCTTCCCTGTGACCCCCATCACTGCCTCACTCGGGCTCCCATTGTTCCACTAAGCCCTTATGCACCAGGCACCTTGCCAGACACAGGACACGAAGATGAGTAAGAGGACACCTGCTCTCATGGAGCTCCATTAGGCAAGAGAGACAGATCAAATCCACATGAAAAAAGCAGGCAGGAACTACTCTAACAGGCTAGCACAGTGGCTAACAGCACAGGCTCGAGTCTTGCTGCTCCACTTACTAGTTGTGTGGCAGGGTAAGACATTTCATACCTTCATCAATAATGGGGCAGTAATAATTGTGCCCAACAGGATTACTGTAAAGATTAAAGAAAATTAAAGCTCTCGGTATAATGCTTGACCCAGAGCAAGCATTTATAAATTCTTGTTATGAATTATTCAGATCATTACTATAAAAGAGGTAGAAAAAAAAAGAACTTTCAGAGTGGTATTGAGGACTAAGCAAACTGAATGCTTGGTGGTGTCTATGGGGGCTGTATTTTAAACTCAGTCTTGAAGAATGACTAAGAGTCTGTCAGAGAAGGGAAGAAGGGACATTTTAGCGAAGGCCTGGGCTGGGAGCATTCACATCATAAGCAAAGATGCCTTGCCTTCCAGGAGTCAGATTCCAAGGCCAGCTGGGCTGAAGCAGCTAAGCCCAGAGAAGGACCTCAGGAGTCTACCCTTAATCTTGTACCCAGAAGGGGGTGGGTGAGAGACATGTGCTCAGATTTTAAGAACAGTGCTACATCTTTTGCTTATCCATCTGGAAGACTGACTGCATACAGGCAAGACAGGACAGGGGGGCCAAATGGGAGACAACTCCAGGAGGTGCCTCCAGATATGGTCCAGGGACTGGAGGACAGCTTAAAGAAAGGTTGTGGGAATTGAAAGAAACATTTCAGGTCTCAGTTTAGATGTCACTTGGCTGGGAAGCCTTTCCTATCTGGGCAGTTCTGAGGGAGGTATCTTTTTCCTAAGGGATCTTACAGCATTAAGACATCTTAAATCACAGCTCCTGACACTTGTAGCTATAGATTAGTTCAAAAAATTTATTAAGGCCGACAGTGAGCCAGGCCCTTGCTTGGCACGGGGAATATGGCATTGAAAGCAGGGAAGAGTGTCTGTCCCCATGCACTTTTGTAGAGCTTACCTGCTGGCAGGGGATACAGGCAAACAAGCAAATAGACAAATATACAAATTCATGTGGTACTAAGTGCTATGAAGAACAAAACAAAGTTAGAGGGTAAAGAGACAGGTCATAGTGGAAGAGGGGACAATCAGGGACAGTGTCTGAAGATGGTCATATCTGACCAGACAACAGGCTGCAATGAGGGAGCAAGGCAGGTGGAGACCCAGGAAAAGAGCAAGGACAGTGTCCCCGAGGGTGAGGCACATCTGCAGCCCAGCCAGGAAAAGACACAAGGCTGGAATCAGGCAAGAACCACACTGTGTATGGCCTCGTACTTTTATTAGAACTAAAATGGGGCCGGGCATGGTAGCTCACACTGTCCAGCACTTTGGGAGTCCAGGGCAGGAGGATCCCGTGAGACCAGTCTGGGCACCATAAGGAGACCCTGCCCCTAAAAAAAAAAACTTCAAAAAATTGACCAGGTGTGGTGCTGCACACCTGTGGTACCAGCTACTTGTGAGGCTGAGGTAGGAGAATCGCCTGAGCCAAGGGAGGGTGAGAGGCTGCTGTGAGCCGTGATCAGGCCACTGTACTCAGCCTGGGTGACAGGGCTGTCTTGAAAAGAAACTAAAAAAGTACTTAAAAACAAAGAAGTGGAATGCCAATGGAGGGTTAAGAAGAGTGACAGGATCTGATTCTGGTTAAACTAAGATCACTCTGGCTGACATATGGAAATAAGCTACAGGCAGCGGAGGCACAGAACCAGGAGAGTCAGGAGGCTCCTGCAGTATTCTGATGAGAAGCAATGGCAGCGAGCACTGAGCTGTTAGCACAGGTGGTAAAAATGGTCAGGTTTCATACCACATCCAATTCATCAGCAGGTTCTGCCAGCTCTATCTTCCGAATATACAGGCAGTAGTATACTTTCACCAGAACTTTCAGAGTGGTATTGAGGAGGACTAAGCAAACTAAATGCTTGCAGCAGGATGCAAGAGTCAAGAGCTCAGGGAGGCTGGGTGCGGTGACTCAGCCCTGTAATCCCAGGACTTTGGGAAACTGAGGTAGGCGGATCACGAGGCCAGGAGTTTGAGACCAGCCTGGCCAACATGGTGAAATCCCATCTCTATTGAAAATACAAAAATTAGGCTGGTATGATTACATGGACCTGTAATCCTAGCTACTTGGGAGGCTGAGGCAGGAGAATCACTTGAACTTGAATGGTGGAAGCTGCAGTGAGCCAAGACTGTGCCACTGCACTCCAGCCTGGGTGACAGAGCAAAATTCCACTTCAAAAAAAGAAAAAAAAAGAGCTCAGGGGGAGGACAGACCAGAAGAAGCCCCCTAGAGGAGCAGATTTGGAGAAGAAGTCTCAGGACTAAAGCAGCAAAGGTGACTAAGCTGGCAGCCAAAGAAGAGCAGGATTCAGGAAGGATGGAAGGAGCCATCAGAGCTTCAGTACTGCAGAGCGGTCAAAAGAACTCGTAAAATGATCACTGGACAAAAGCCGCCTGACCACAACAAACAGCGTCCATGGTGTGGCGACTTAGGGGAAACAGAATGGAAGGAAGGAAAGAAAGAAGCATGCACAACTGTCTTGAGGACACCTTCTATTAAGGAAAGCAGAGATATAGCACAGAGAGTGGAGGGGAATGTAGATGAAGGACGATATTTACATGTGCAGTATCACCGTAAGGGCTAAGAAAAATGCACACCAGGCTCACACCTATAATCCCAGCACTTTGGGAGACCAAGGTAGATGGATCACGAGGTCAGGAGATCGAGACCATCCTGGCCAACATGGTGAAACCCCCATCTCTAGTAAATACAAAAATTAGCTGGGCGTGGTGGTATGTGCCTGTAATCCCAGTTACTCAGGAGGCTGAAGCAGGAGAATCACTTGAACCAGGAATGGTGGTGTGTGCCTGTAGTCCCAGCTACTCCGGAGGCTGAGGCAGGAGAATCACTTAAACCACAGAGTTGGGAGGTTGCAGTGAGCCGAGATCACGCCACTGCACTCCAGCCTGGCGACAGAGGGAGACTCTGTCTAAAAAAAGAAATAAAAGAAAAATGTACACCAGGAAGGGGGGGCACAAATTCTTCAGATGGCTGGAAAAGCTGAATAATCTTTAATGACTTGAAATGCTGACCAGAGGGTTAATGTAAACAAATAAAGGATATTATTCCCTTTTTACCTATCAAGAATTAGAATGGTTCTTGTCACTAGTTGAAATAAATCTTAGAAGAAAATGATGTAGTTATTAGAAGTTGGTCCATAGCTAAAATGAGGACAACAGCTATAAAAGCATTAAAAAAGAAAGACGCCGATTGATAAATGTCTTTTGTGATGATACAATAAACTCATGTTTACAATTTCTGAATTCATAATTTTCCAGTTTCCATGAGCTGGACATACTTACAGGTTACACTGGTTTAGTCTGTAAAACTTGTGTCGTGCAACACAGAGTCTCCAAATATATTTTGCTGCTTCCATGTCTTCCTAGAAAATAATGTAGGCAGAAGGCAGTATGAAAACACACATACGACTTGACACATTTAATGCAGAGTTTGTCTGAAGATATAATGGGTGACATCGTATGACAAAGTCACTGTCAGAACACTGGGAGCCTTTCGTTTTCCAACACTGTGCCCACGGTATGAATACCACAAACAGGATTTAACTTATGAAGACAAAACAATCTGTTCTAACAGTGTGAATTCTCATACTAAGCAGTTTCAAAATGACTTGAAAATCTAAAAACTATAAAAATACCAACTTTTACTCTTGCCAAATACACTCAGATAAACAAAAATATGACTCACTAACTCAATACTGCCTTTGTCAAGAGAACAAAAGCAAGTAACTGTTAAAGAACATTTCTTCAGAGATATTCATTTATCAATGAAATCTAAGATATCAGTGCTTATTTTTAGACAGAGTCTTGCTGTGTTGCCCAGGCTGGAGTGCAATGGCATGATTCTCGGCTCACTGCAACCTCTGCCTCTCAGGTTCAGGCCATTCTCCTGCCTCAGCTGCCTGAGTAGCTGAGATTACAAATGCACGCCACCATGCTCAGCTACTTTTTGTATTTTTAGTAGAGATGGGGTTTCACCATGTTGGCCAGGCAGGTCTTGAACTCCTGACCTTGTCATCTGCCCACCTCAGCCTCCCAAAATAATGGGATTACAGGCTCGTGAACCACCACACCTGGCCTTCGGTGCTTACTTTCTCCCCTACTTAGTCCCTGAAGCTTAATTTAAAGATTATCATGATCAGACAGTAGTTGTCCAAAGACTCATTCATTCAGCATTTACTGAGCAGCCATTATTCGCCAACCACCATTTTGCAAAATGTAACATGATAAAACTGCATGTTTTCTAGAATTATGCAGTGTGATAATTTTAATACTGCCCTGCCTCCAAACACATACAGGCAGGCAGAAGTAGAAGCTGTTAACTTTCAGGAAAACATTCCATGCAGACCCCTACTCACAGTTTGAAATTGGATGGTCTCCTCTTTATTTGCCAGCTCTAATGCGAAAATCGACTTGTTGTGGGACATGTTAGCAATGTCATGCCACCTAAGGAACAGCAAATAGAGAATGGCAAGGTGAGTGCGCCATGGGGAAACCAGGAGATACAGTACAGAATTTTCCCCTAAGCCTGATGTGTACGTTAATATTTGGTAACATTTTTGAGAAAAACACAAAACCAGCCTGGTTAACATGGTGAAACCCTGCCTCTATTAAAAATACAAAATCTAGGCCAGGCGCAGTGGCTCACACTTGTAATCCCAGCACTTTTGGAGGCTGAGGCAGATGGATCACCTGAGGTCAGGAGTTTGAGAGCAGTCTGGCCAACATGGTGAAACCCCGCCTCTACTAAAAACACAAAAAAATTAGCTGAGCATGGTGGTGGGCACCTTTAATCCCAGCTGCTTGGGAGGCTGAGGCAGGCGAATTTGCTTGAACCCAGGGGGCAGAGGTTGCAGTGAGCCAAGACAGTACCACTCTACCCCAGACTGGGCAATAAGAACAAAACTCCATCTTGAAAAAAAAATTACAAAAACTAGCCAGGCAAGGTGGTAGGCACCAGTAATCCCAGCTACTTGCGAAGCTGAGGGAGAAGAATCGTCTGAACCTAGGAGGCAGAGGTTGCAGTGAGCCGAGCTTGTGCCACTGCACTCTAGTCCTGGCGACAGAGCAAGACTCTGTCTCAAAAAAACAAAACAAAACAAAACAAAAAACAGTGGTTTTAATCTGGTAACATTAATGTTCTAATTGAAGTGACAGCAGCTAGTTGCAAAAAGTAAATTCATGTATATTAAATGAGGGAAAACAGAATTTAAAAGATGTAAAATGTAGCATTCTCATTTGTCAGATTTGCTTGATTGAAGATCCCTGTCTTAGCTGGTTGCCAATGCCTCATCTATTCATACAACAAAATAAAAGGTACCTATTGTAAGAACGCCAGAAATTTCAGCAGGTCTTAGGGACACTAAGATTAGTGAAGGATAGTGCTTCCCTAAAGAAGCACAGATGGAGAGGAAGGGGAGGAGCGAGAACACAGAAGCAAACAAGAACCTTTAAGTCTTGCAGATACACAGGGTAAAATAAGGCACAAAAGTGGGGGAGGTGTGCTCTGAAAAGCTTCAGGGTGAAGATAAAGTTGAAACGCCAGGAACTCAAAGAGTGAACTATTCTGGAAGTTTTCACTAGGATTCAAAATCTGATACTTTCTAATTTTATATTACCTTTTCTATATTAATATTTGATTTGATTATATAATCATAGAATTTTAGAAAAAGAACAAATTATGGAAAAAAATTTTAACCTTTTCCATTATTTTATTTAAAATGTATTAAAATTAATTTAGTAGTGATTTAGTGTTTGCTAAATCTAAATATTATTAGCATCACATGGTTTCTTTAAGATAACTTTAAAAACTCCTATCCAGTGATAAAGGAAGCCAGGCAGATGCCTCAAGTTCCCATGTGACACTCTGGGCACCATCCGAGCCCTGCCCTTCAGGTAGAGCCCTGGACCTATGTTCTTCTCCCTGACCCCCAACTCAGCATGTTGGGAAGGGTTAATACAGGTGGCCTGGGGATGACAGAGCAACTGCCAAAGGGGAGCCACCCAGCCCCGGGCAGTGAACTCTGGGAGTGGGGTTCTACTCTCCAAGTGATATGTCCTCTCTGAGGTCATAACCACCAGAGAGAATTCATGGAGACAGTAAAGCACAGGAAATGTAGGAGGAGATGTCCATCTAGAGAAAAAGCTCTTCAAGGCAAAACTAGTTCTCAAGAAGAAATGGTAGGAATGGTTTAGAAAGCTTGAGTTTTGTGTGTGCTGTGTGGCTGGCAGTGAGTTAGGGGTGGAGAAAATAAAAGCTGTTTAAGGCTGAGCATAGTGGCTCATGCCTGTAATCCCAGCACTTTGGGAGACCAAGGTGGGTGGATCACCTGAGGTCAGGAGTTCAAGACCAGCCTGGTCAACATGGTGAAACCCTGTCTCTACTGAAAATACAAAAATTAGCTGGGCGTGGTGGTGCACGCCTGTAGTCCCAGCTACTCAGGAGGCTGAGGCAAGAGAATGGCTTGAACCCGAGAGGTAGCCAAGAGGTGCAGTAGCCGAGATTGCACCACTGCTCTCCAGCCTGGGTGACAACAGCGAAACTCCATCTCAAAAGGGGAAAAAAAAAAAGCTGTTTAATAAAGCAATTAAGAGCCCAAGCATAAAGTGGAGGATCCAAGTTCTAGTACTAGTTATGCCAGTTAATAACTGGGTGACCATGGACAAATCACAACTTTTCTAAGCCTCAATTATCACATGTGCAAAGTGGTGGTAATACCTACTGTGGAGTGGGTTATGAAGATTACATAAAACAATACACAAAGGCTGGACATGGTGGCTCACGCCTGTAATCCCAGCACAGTGGGTGGATCCCCTGAGGTCAGGAGTTCAAGACCAGCCTGGACAACATGGTGAAACCCTGTCTCTACTAAAAATACAAAAATTAACTCAGTGCAGTGGCATGTGCCTGTAATCCCAGCTACTCAGGAGGCTGAGGCAGGAGAATCACTTTAGCCTGGGAGACGGAGGTTGCAGTGAGCCAAGATTGCGCTGTCGCACTCCAGTCTGGGCAACAGAGCAAGACTCTGTCTCAAAAAAAAAAAAAAAAAAAAAAAAAAAAAAAACCACACACACAAAAAGTGTTCAGCATAGTTCATCTGACTCATGATAAGCACTCAACAAATGGTAGACACAAAGGAACCAAAAAACAAAAGGGACAGAATATGTTTTACTACCTTATAAAAACAATATAAGCTTCTGGCTGGACACCATGGCTGGCCTATAATCCCAGCACTTTGGGAGGCCAAAGAGAAAGGATCACTTGAGACCAGGAGTTAGAGATCAGCCTGGGCAATATTGCAAGACCCTGTCTCTATAAAACAAATAAATAAAAAATAAAAATGAATTTAAAAACAATACAAACGTAATTTTCATTACTCTGAGATTCTATTTATCTGATTAGCTCTTTCTAGAGAACAGATAACTGGATAAATAGAATCTCAGAGTAAAACTGCAAGTATTTCTATGAAATGAACTTTGGATTTTCCAGACTAGAGATTTTAAGGAATAAAAGGCAGGGATTGTACAATATGGTCCAACTTAATTTCTTTAAGATACAAATTAGAACACAGAATACTATAGAGGAAATTAAAATCATCTGTAGTTTCACTGTTCAGAGTTGGCCACTATTAGTATGTCACTATATATCCTTTCCATCTTTCTTACATTCCAAGACTTTCACAAATGAATGTATCATTTTTTTATATCAGCAAAAAAAAAAAAAAGTTATAAAAAATAATTGAAATTTGCCTAGATAACTGGTATTTCAGGAATTTTGGTACATAACTAGTGTCAAAACAAAGATCTAAATTTTTCATAGGAAATAGCCCTACGGGCCAGGCACAGTGGGCTCACACCTGGAATCCCAGCACTCTGGGAGGCAGGCGGATAGCTTGAGCCCAGGAGTTTGAAACCAGCCTGGGCAACAGGGTGAAACTGTCTCTACAAAAAACACAAAAATTAGCCAGGCATGGTGGCATTAGCCTGTAGTCCCAGCTACTCAGGAGGCTGAGATGGGAGGATCACTTCAGCCTGGGAGGTCAAGGTTGCAGTGAGTGGACTCTAGCCTGGACGACAGAGTGAGTTTGTCACAATAAATAAATTAACCAATAAATAGTCGTAGAAACCAGAGCTCAAATTAAAAATTCACATCAAAACGAAGAATGGTCTCCATGTGGCACAAAAAGGGTTACACATTTTCCAGCATTTTATAATAGGCCATCATTATAAGCATTATATTCTGGACATTTAGTTTTGAAGAAAGTGGCTTTTGAAAAGGGCTGTTGCATTCCGATGGTATTTTTTTTTTCTAGGAAGGGAATTATTTCTATTTTTTAATGAGAGCTTGGGATAGACTTGTGAACAATTTAACCCTTTAAGTACTAAAAAACAGATCACCAACAGGAGCCATAGAAAACATACAAAAAGAGGTAAGAAAAATACCTAAATACCACAGGATGCCTTCCATTCTTGTGTTTCACAAAGATGCCTTCAAGACACGCTCCAATGGATATGTCACTTCCTTGGCTATCCTAAAAGGAGAAAGCAGAAAAAGAAAAACCCAGGAAGCAGATGCCTAGAAATTGCTGCTACACAGAGTTCCCCAGACTGGTTTCCCAGATGTAGAGAGTTCAGAAGACTTACAGAGTCACTATTCAGGAGGAAAAAAGTCTGAATGACATAGATGATCTTGTAGATATATATAAAAATTTTAAAAGTCTGGGCCTCCTCAGGAATTCTAGTTCAAGACCATTTCAAAGTATGAACCACAGTCTGGGCGCAGTGGCTCACACCTGTAATCCCAGCACTTTGGGAGGCCGAGATGGGTGGATCACAAGGTCAGGAGATCGAGACCATCCTGGTCAACATGGTGAAACCCCATCTCTACTAAAAATACAAAAAATTAGCTGGGCATGGTGGCGCGTGACTGTAATCCCAGCTACTCAGGAGGCTGAGGCAGGAGAATTGCCTGAACCCAGGAGGCGGAGGTTGCGGTGAGCTGAGATTGCGCCATTGCACTCCAGCCTGGGTAACAAGAGTGAAACTCCGTCTCAAAAACAAAAACAAAATAAAATAAAATAAAAACAAAATATGAACCACAAAATGGGAATGTGTTTTACCCCAAAATTTTGGTCACCAGGACCTCAGCTTTTGTTTCCAGAGTTTTGCATGTCCTCAGCCTTTGCACATAAGGACATCCTTGGATTTCCACACTATTTTCTCAAATTTGTGAGCCTAACTTTAAAGACCCCCCCGCCCAGCTGCCAAGTCATACTTACCTTAGCAGGGTAGCTCTCTTCTCCATAGCCGTCCATTCTCTCTACCTCTTGCATGTACAGCATTTCAGCATCAGGAGCTGTGAGCCCTCTGCAAACCAAAAGAAGCAAAGTTGTTAACAAAGCAAGCTTAAAATGGTTTTAAAGAAGCTTTTCTTAGGAGGCTGAGGCAGGAGAATTGCCTGAACCCAGGAGGCAGAGGTTGTGGTGAGCCGAGATCGCGCCATTACACTCCAGCCTGGGTAACGAGCGAAACTCCATCTCAAAAAAAAAAAAAAAAAAAAAAGCTTTTCTTAAAACCTATATATCAATTTAGCATATAACCCTATAAATATATCAATTTTCTAATTGGTTATATCAATCTATTGATATTTACTGAAAACCAGTATGTGCAAAGCACTGTGCTAAATGCTGAGGGTATCACATGAGATCCTGCTCTCTATACTTAAAGCAGAGGAGTAGGGAGGATGGGGACAAAACAACTCCCTAAAAAAATCTTCAGGTGAAAGCTTGGACTTTTCTTAAACTACCAAGTAATTGCTTATTGTCCCAAATATCAGGGCTGGGCATGGTGACTCATGCCTGTAATCCCAGCACCTTGGGAAGCCGAGAGAGAAGATCACACCTGAGGCCAGGAGTTTGAGCCCAGCCTGGGCAACATAATGAGACCTTGTCACTACAAAAAACATGTTTTAAATTAGCCAGGCACAGTGGTGCACATCTATAGTCCCAGCTACTTGGAAGGCTGAGGTGGGAGGATTGTGTGAGCCCAGGAGTTCCAGGTTGCAGTGAGCTGTGATGGCTCCACTGCACGCCAGTCTGGGCAACAAAAAACAAAAACAACGAAGTATCAGGCATTACTGAGAATTATGTGCTAAATGTCGAATCCAGGGAATAAGTGTATGAAGAGGCTACATGAAAACCCTTTTCGCTCAGGTGAGTGCAGCACTACTAGGATAGGTAGGAAGGCAGTGTGGGTATAGGAGGAGTGCCCAAGTGCATGCAGACTTGCATCTCCAGCCTCACCTTCTGATGCTCCCCGCTGTCCTCAAGGCATCCACACTCCAGCCATCCCAAACTCTGCATGTCTTCAGATAGAATATGTTCCCTCAGCCCTCTGGGTTTTTACACATGTGAATCCCTCTTCTTATTACACCTGTGACTCACTAGTGGACCTGGCCAATCCCTAATATCCTTCAAGACTCTGCCTATGCATCACTCCCCCTGGGTCACTTTCTGGGATTCCCCAGTGCCCCAGCTCTGTGCAGTCCCAATACATTCTGCCCATACCCCTCTAACTGCGCTCGTATACTCTTATACTTCTTACATATATTATAATTACCACAGTGGCTTGTCCTAACAGCCCTCAGATTAAAGGGCTGGGAATGCACTCTTGGAAGACAAGAAATCATTCTATTTATTTGTGTGCCATAGTATCCAGCACTCTTACTCTGCTTAATACAGAGTAAGAACACTGAATTATCTTTGAAGGAAATGCACAAATAAATGAATGAAAGTGACAAAAGGCAGAGCAATCTGTGCCTGAGGGATCAATTAGACTAGAAAAGAAATGGTTCATGTGGATGGCAGAAGGTAAAGCTGGAAAGGCAGGAGTTAACCAACTTGTGGGAGGCCTTTAATCTCAGGGTAATGAACTCAGGCTTGTGGGAAGCATGAAAATACACACGAGCATGAGGAAGGAGGAGGAGACAGGTAAGAGGAAAGTGATATATTCTAGGGAGATTAATCTTTTGTGAGCGACTGTGTGGATTTGAGTGGAGAGAGACTAGAGGCAAAAGGATATTTTATTTGGAAGGGGATAAGCAGTAGGTTCTAATGAAATGGACCTGCTTTCAATTCCCACCTCTATGACATGTAGAGATAAATAAATCTTTTTGAGTTTGGTTTCCCCATCTGTGAGATGGAGATAATAATGTTTACCTTAGTGAGTAGTTGTAAGAATTTAATAATAGAGTATGGACAGTCTCCAACTTACGATGGTTAAATTGAATGACTTTTCAACTTTACAGTGGTACAAAGGTGATACAAATTCAGAAGAAACTGTACTTTGAGGACCCATACAACTATTCTGTTTATCACTTTCAGTACAGTATTCAACAAATTACATGTGACGTTCAACATTATCAAATATATGACAGGCTCTGTGTTAGACAATTTTGCCCAACCATATGCTCATGTAAGCGTTCTGAGAATGCATAGGGTAGGCTAGGCTAAGCTATGACGTTCAGCAGGGCTGGTGTATTAAATTCATCTCAACTTACAGAATTTTCATCTCACTATGACTTTATCAGGACTTAACCCCATCATAAGTCAAGGAGCATCTGTAACTGGAACTGTGTTGTAGTTGGTTTAGAGTAAGACCTAGCATTCTCTAGAAGAGTATATTTTCTTACAGGCAACACAGAGATTCACCATGAAAGAATGTCAATATCTACAAGTATACAAAGGTATGCAAGAGCATAGTTCCGAGTAATAAGCACCATAGCTCTTAGCATAGCTCCTCCCCAGATGACAGACACAGCCCATAGATATACAGAGGGAAGTAACCCTGTACTTGCCATGCTGTATCATAAAAAAAAAAATCAAACCTCCCTGATTTTACATTAACCTATACAGGATGAGGTTATCACACAAACCTTTACTATACGCAGTAAAGAACTGGCACCCTTCAATGACTGGCTGCCTTCAACTTCCTCAGCGTCCTCACTGGTAAAACATGGACAATAAATGAGTAATGTGGGTAAGTACTTAGAACAGCACGTGGCACATACTGAGTGCTATGTAAATGTTGGCTACTTGTAATTGCAGCGGCAGTAATGTTCCAAATTTAATTGGGCAAATAAATATCAATCATGTAAATTAAATATTTGATTGAATATTTCAAATTCAAGCAGACATTGGTTCTATGCTATTTCCTTGTCTTATTTCTTAGTTACCTGTATTTCTGATGTAATAAGGCCACTTTTTGGGTTGCTTCTTCCAATACTTTTTCATCTTGTAACCACCCCTGAAGAAAATACACAGTAGTAAGTACATAATAATTCACCCAAATTTCTTAGAAGGAATCATTGCCACTGATTGTTACTGACTCTCGTCACTATCAGGCAAAATTATGACTACTGTTAATATATGAGAGCTTTACTTACATATGTAATCATCTTTCTAAGGAATTAAGTGGCTTATTCACATGAGCCAAAAAAAGTTGCCCTACCTTCTCAATTCATCCCAGGGAAAGTTTCAGCTGAGTTATTTCAGGTTGTTGACAGCAGTCAGCCAGTCCTCAGCCCAGCAAGATAAAAACATCTTGTGTGTTCTCTGGCTGGCTGTGTAGACACTCAGAAGAAGAGCATCCCACACCTCCCTTAGTGGCTGCAATGCAGTTTCTGTGTCCCTTCCATCAGTAATGACTTTATAAAAGGAGAAGGCAGTGTCTTTGTTATCTACTTTTTAAATTGCTGATGAAAAGCGACATTCATTCCTCAATATTAAATTTTGTAAGGTTTCAAGCCTTCAGGTAAAAACAAAACCTATGCATGCTTCCTGAGAAGCTGAAAATGAATCCTTCTTTTAAAACTTAATTTAAATAGAAAACAAATGTCTCCAGGCACAGTGCAGTGACTATAGACCCCTCAGTTTCTGTGGGTTCACAAGGACCAAGATGACTACTATCAGAAAAGCATTCACACTTGGGATATTTATACGAGGGACTTTTTTTTTTATATAACGCTATTTCTGACTAGAAAGCCTATCATATGGACTTCGTTTCAGGGATTATTAAGGGTACAGAAGTAAACTGTTCCTTTCAAAAGGCCCAGTATCAAAAGAAGTCTTACCACAGGAAACAAGGCAAATTTCTGAAGAAAGTCCTGAGATTCATACTGATCAAAGTCACCAAAATCAGCTATATAGAATGATAAATATTCACGTTAATTATATTTAAATTGCATTGCAAAATATGCACAACAAAATTCAATACAGTATATATAGATGGTATGCTTATCTTTCAGAATCAAATTTTTTTTTTTTTTTTTTTGAGACAGAGTCTTGCTCTGTCACCAGGTGCCAGGCTGGAGTACAGTGGCGCAATCTCGGCTCACCGCAATCTCCACCTCCTGGGTTCAAGCAATTCTCCTGCCTCAGCCTCCCTAGTAGCTGGGACTACAGGTGCATGTCACCATGCCCAGCTAATTTTTGTATTTTTTATTAGAGATGGGGTTTCACCATGTTGGCCAGGATGGTCTTGATTTCTTGACCTCATGATCCGACCGCCTTGACCTCCCAAAGTGCTGGGATTACAGGCATGAGCCACCGCACCTGGCCCAGAATCAAATTTTTTATAGCTATAAAAAATATATTTTAAAAGTATCTTTTAAAAAATATTAATTAGGTAGATATGAGTCTTGGCTTGGAAAAATGCCTATGAATTAAATTTTTTAAAAGTTCCAGGCTATATATAATACGATCTCATTTTTATAGTTAAAATGCAAACAAAACCTACCCTGCCATCATATATGCTTATGTACAGAAAAATGTCAAGGAGAAACCAAATTGTCAACAGTAGGATGACCTCTGGGGAATGCACTTAGACCACCTGAATATATTAGAGCAAGATATATTTGTTTTGAAATTTTTAATGTTTTTAAAAAATTGACAATTCAGCAAAATGCTCATAAAAAAGTAATTCTTAAAGCCAAAAATGATACTTAAGAAAATCCATTGCTTATAGCCATTACTGGAAACAAAGAAAAAAGAAAGAAAATCCAAAGTACCTTGAAAACAAATGTGGCTCCATATGCATCATGCATTTGTTTAAAAATGATATATGTCTCCATGCCTGCTAATAGCTGAAGGAATTTGATTAATAATTCTTCTGATTATTAATCATTCCCAAGGCTAAATGCCAGTTATTGTTTGAAATAATGCCTCATCAGGAATCTTCCTGGCCAGGCCCAGTGTCTCACACCTATAATCCCAGCACTTCAGGAAGCCAAGGAGGGAGCATAGCTTGAGCCCAGGAGTCTTAAGACTAGCCTAGGCAACACAGCAAGACCCTATCTCTACAAAAAAAAAAACACTTAAAAATTTGCTAGGCATGGTAGCACACAGCTGTAGTCATAGTTACTTGGGAGGCTCATGTGGGAGGAGTGCTTGAGCCAAGTAGGTTGCGGCTGCAGTGCGCCACGATCACATCACTGCACTCCAGCCTGGACCACAGAGCAAGACTCAGTCTCAAAAAAATAAAATAAATAAGAAGAACTTATTCATATAACCGAACACCACCTGTTCCCCAAAAACCTATTGAAATAAATAAATAAAAAGAAACCAAACAAATGAAACGTACTTAAACTATAAGTGAATATAACCTCATCAAACTCACTGTCTGGCACTTCTTAAAATATTACCTATTAGCAGATAAAGTCTTTGAACTAGATGAATACATAGCATAGTATTAATAAATATATACATATATAGTCATATGTCACTTAATGATGAGAATATGTTGAAAAATGCATCATTAGATTTTGTCACTGTGCAAACATCAGCGTATACTTACACAAAGCTAGGTGGTGTAGCCTACTACACACCTAGGCTACACTGTATAGCCTATTGCTCCTCCTAGGCTACAAGCCTAAACAGCATGTTACTGTACTGAATACTGTAGGCAATTGTAACACAATGGTATTTGTGTATCCAAACAGAAAAGGTACACTGCAAATACAGTGTTATAATTTTATGGGACCACTGTCCTATATGAGGTCTTTTGTTGGCTGAAATGTCATTCGGCATGTGATTGTATGTATGTGTACGTATACACATATATACATACATCTACTCATTGTACTGTTTGCTCTGTTGACATATAACATGATTAACTTCCAGAAGTCTCACATTTCATTCAGGTATTCCAAGTTCATCCTTTTCCAAAAGGAAGCCCCTTTGATAACAGAGTATTTCACCAATATGTAAGCACTACTAAAAATGTAAATAGTCAGTTAACTTAAAAATCCCTTGCTACTTTGTTGCAACACATTTTAATCTGCTAGAATATTTCATTATGAATTTCTTATTTATTCTTATTTACCTTGAACAGCTAAGCCTGCTAGCTGAATTGCTTGTTCTAAGGTACAAGGAATACTTCCTTCTAAGATATCTTTCTTCAGTTGCAGATAATACTGATACCTATAAAAAAATGTCAGTTTTATAAGGTCAATGTCAGTATTATCTCCAATTCAGACACAATACATTTAACCATACTTTGGTAGAGAAGCAAAAACCAGTAAAGTAAAACCTTAATCCCACATGGTTTCTTTTTGTTTTTTTTTTTTTTTTAGATAGGGTCTCCCTTTGATGCCCAGGCTTGATGCAGTGCCATGATCAAAGCTCACTGTAGCCTCAACCTCCCTAAGTGATCCTCTCACCTCAACCTCCTGAGTAGCTGGGACTATAGGCACATACCACTATGCCTGGCTAATTTCTCTATTTTTTTGTAGAGATGGAGTTCCACCATGTTGCCCAGGCTAGTCTTGAACTCCTGGGCTCAAGCAATCCTAGTGCTTGGATTCAAAATGCTGGGACTACAGGCATGAACCACCATGCAGAGCCCCCAGATGGTTTCAAATAAGGATGAAGAAGTCCTCAACCATATGACACTTAAAGACACACTTTAATCAATCTAATGAGTTACTTAGCCCAGATAATAGTTATTTCAAAACTAAAACAATCCTGTAAGACAATTAGTCATCTGTTTCATGCCCTGTAAAATAGTCCCTACAATTTCTTTTTAGTTGGAGAAATGGAAAGCCAATGGCCAATCTTTATTTTTAAAACTCTGACTAGTGCCAGGCGCGGTGGTTTACACCTGTAATCCCAGCACTTTGGGAGGCCAAGGTGGGTGGATCACGAGGGTCAAGAGATTGAGACCATCCTGGTCAACATGGTGAAACCCCATCCCTACTAAAAATACAAAAAATTAGCTGGGCACGGTGGCACGTTCCTGTAGTCCCAGCTACTCAGGAGGCTGAGGGAGGAGAATTGCCTGAACCCAGGAGGCAGAGGTTGCGGTGAGCCGAGGTGGCGCCATGGCACTCCAGCCTGGGTAACAAGAGCGAAATTCCATCTCAAACAAACAAACAAACAACAAAGAAAACCCTCTGACTAGTAACTTGGTAAATAAGACTGTGCTTATCTTGTTTGGTGAAAGTTCCCTGGCACTGGAAAGTAAAGCCAGAGAAAAATGGTTTCTGATATTTCAGAACAGGCTGATATTAAAATATTTCTAATGAAATCCCCCAAAACAGCTGTTAATAGGCTTTCTTAATATATGGCAGTGTGGGTTTACTTCTGTTTACCACCCTGTTTCTACTTTCAATATGTAGGTCTCTAGTTACCAGAACAAGCTTTAGAGTCAAGCAGACCTGAACTCTCCAACATAGTATTCTGCATGAACTTGGGCAACTCTTAATCTGTGGGTTTAAACTCTAACACCAGTAAAATGAGGGTACCATCACCCCTTCACAGGACTCAACATATTCGAATAATAATATATGTAAAGGACTAAAAGCACAGCCCGCAAACAGCAGCTGTATCAATGATGTACTTGAAGCCACTCACTTCTCCACTTTCACAAGGCTTTAGAGTGAAGATTTACTACTTCCTTTTATTCATTCACTAAACAGGCAATTTCTGGGGTCTACTATGTGTTCAGCATTATTCTAGATGCTGGGAATACAGTGCTAAACAGAGATCATGGACACTCTGTCAGCACAGTCTATGGAGCCATCTGGAATCCAAAATGTCCTCCATACTTGGTGCCTGTGAAGTGCAGCCCAGTTATAGTTCACATTTGAATTCCTCTGAGAGCCCACTCCTTTAATCATTTCATATGAGTCTTTATCATCCTATTTCAGCCACAGGCATGTAAACCTCTGTTCTTTATTACCAAAGAACCTTACCAAAAATTATCCATTCAATTAAGAACCAGCCTTTCCACTTCCACCTGCTAATAGCCAAACCCATGGATTTCTCCCTATTAGCTAATGGGATGCTGGTAGTTCTAGGATCCATCAAAGAGAAAAACTTGAAATTTTCTATAAGGCAGCTCCTTTCAAATGCTGGCCTGAGGGAGAACGTGTTAAGGAAGTCTATCTATTGAACATGCTGTTCACAGATTTCATTCTAAATATTCTAGGCCTTTTCCTTAAATCAAAAACACGAGAAAGGGCCAGGTGCAGTGGCTCATGCCTGTAATCCCAGTACTTTGGGAGGCCAACGCGGGTGGATCACTTCAGGTCAGGAGTTAGAGATCAGGCTGACCAACATGGCGAAACACTGTTTCTACTAAAAATACAAAAATTAGCCAGGCATGGTGACACATGGCTGTAGTCCCAGCTACTTGGGAATCTGAAGTAGGAGAATCGCTTGAACCCAGGAAGCGGAGGTTGCATTGAGCCGAGATGGTGCCATTGCATTCCAGCTTGGGTGTGGCAACGAGACTCCATCTCAAAAAAATAAAAAATTTTTAAAAAGACATGTAAAAGCAACATACCTGGACCCAATTAATGTAGCCTTCCACAAAAACATTTTTTTGCCTTACATTACACTGTTATGAGAATTGATTCTTCCATATTTGCTCTAACTTATTCATTTCTGGTTCAATGTCTTAAATAAAATCGCACCTGAAAGTTTCTGTTTAAATGATATACCAGGAAAATGTGTCATGCTTGCAAACAGGTATGCTTCTTTGTGTCACATAATGAATGATGGAACTCATATTTCTTCTTTTGTTTTGACTGCCATTAAGCTCAGAGCTAAAATCCAGGCATAGTCACACTCATTATTATCTCTCTTCATTGCTTTCTCCACTATTTAAAATAGTTACCTTTCAGTGATGAAGAGCTGGAGCTCACTGGTTAAGCAACATACTCAAATCTACAATGCTAGGCTGAGCTGGAGTTTGAATCCCCAGGTCTGAATGACCCCAAAGATCATGTTCTTAACCGTGACAAACCTATAGACATTGTGCCACCTGCAAGTACTTCAGTAGGTATTCCTAAAAGGTAAGCTTTATTTTAAAAACATAGCTACATTTCTATCACACCCAAAAAATGAACATCTTCATACTACCCAATACCTGATTCATGAACAATTTTCATGATCACCTCAAAAATGCATTTTTACAGTTTTCTTAAATTAGAATCCAAACAAGGTCTACAGATTACATTTGATGGGTATTTCAAAATCTCTCTTGATATAAAAATAAAAAATTTTATTCCCTTTTGTTTTCATGTTATTTATTAGCAGAAATGGAGCCACTTGTTACACAGAATTTCCTACCTTCTAGACTTTTCTGATTGTAGTCTCATGGAGTCATTTGGCAAGTTTACATGTTCAATTTTTCCTGAAAACTAATCATTAGATGTAGAGCAGCACTATCTAATAGAACATTCTGTCGTGATAGAAATGATCTATATCTGCACTGCCCAATATAGTAACCATTAGCCACATGTGGCTATTCAGTACTTGAAATGTGGCTAGTGCAAGAAAATTCTTAATTGTATTAATTTTAATTAACTAAAAATAGCCACATGTAACTAACGACTACCTTATCGAACAGCGCAGACTAGAGGCTTGCTTTGATACAAGTTCATTTTAGTCATTTTCATTGGTGATGCCTGTACTTCCTGATGCATTACATCAGAAGAAATGGTATTTGGTTGTCCCACTTACAGTGATGCTGACATTGCCCACTGAGTTCAGATGATGCCAGCCTGTTTCTTTTACCCAAAGGTTTTAGCTGATATCAAGGATGCTTATCTAGACACATTATTACATTAAAAAATGAAAATGGTGATTCTTCTATTTCACAATTTCTCCTGTATTTATTAGCTGTGATTCTTCTATAAAGATCATTTCTTTAACAAATATTTGGTTACCTCTTTAAACAGTCTATAAAGAAAAGACAGGATGAATTTAATGCCATTCAGAATAATGAATTGGTATTCTAGCAAGTTTCAAAGGTGACCAATAAGGTTTTTTCTTTGAACGTATTATGAACGTGTGAATTTTAAAAGATATTTGATGTGTTTTAATCCATGCAGTTGTATTTTTTGTTTTGTTTTGTTTTGTTTGAGACGGGGTCTCACTCTGTCACCTGGGCCATGTTCAAGGTATTCTCCTGCCTCAGCCTCCTGAGTAGCTGGGATTACCGGCATGCACCATCATGCCTGGCTAATTTTTGTAGTTTTAGTAGAGATGGGAGTTTCACCATGTTAGCCAGGCTGGTCTCAAACTCCTGACATCAAGTGATCCACCCACCTTGGCCTCCCAAAGTGCTGGGATTACAGGTGTGAGCCACCATGCCTGGCCCACTTGTATTCTTTCTGATGGTCAAAATTTCCAAGCTTTGCACAGTGGCAGTATCATAGCCAATGAGGTTTATCCAAGGCACAATTAATGATCATTGAAACAAGATTTCCTCTTTTGCAAGTAAAAACTCCAGGCACCAGAGTGTTTGCTCTCTCTGCCATGTGAGGACCCAGTCAGAAGTTCTGCAAGCCAGGAAGGGAGCCCTCATGAGACCTCAACCATGCTCAAATCTCCCAACAGAAAACAGGTCAGCTGTTTAAGCTACCCAGGCTATAATATTTTGTTATGGCAGCCCATGCTAAGGTATATTCGCAGGTCGTTTTTGCTGGATATATAATCATTGCCAAATATTTCCTTCCTTTCCTTGAGGATGTTAAACGTTACTTTTTTGTCTGTTGGCATGAAGCATTTTTCCAGAAGTCTGATACCAATCTTATGTTCTTCATTTTATGAGTAATAGAGTTTTGGTCTGGATGCTCAATTTCCAGTGACTTTGCCGAATGTGTTGGCACTGATTTTTCTGAACTGACCGTCCCAGGTACACAGTAGACCTTTTCAACATATAGCGTCAAGTCATCTTCCTTTCAAGAAAGTTTTTAGAATGTGTTATAGATAGAATATAGAATTTGTTATATCGTTTTTAAGAATTTGTTCTTTGCCAATGTTTTGCCTTAGATCACACTGTCAGAAGAATGTTTTGGCTCCTTCCTTTAGGGAATCCTATTACATCTGCTTTTTAACTTGTCTTCTATACTTTTATCGTTTCTATCATTTCAAAATTTCTAATTGTTTTGACAGCTATTTTCATATTCACCTGTTACAAGACAAATTATTCCCAAACTTTTCTAATTCAGATTTAAATGGTTCTTTCACATCATCTGTTATTTTCTTAATTTTCTTTAGTTCATTTTGTAGTCTCAAGTACCAGTTTTCTACTGCTTTGTGGTCACATTTTCTATTAAGTCTGTACTTTCTGAAAGCATATTATTCAGTCTGTTGTTCTCCCCATTTGTTTTCTTGCAATATCTTTGAGTGGGATTTTTTAGAACACCATTTCTGAGGTATAATTGGCATACAAATAAGCTGTTGAAATTTCAAGTGTACAGTTTTGACACACGCATGTATCCATGAAACCATCACTACAAGATGAGGAACACACTGACCACCTGCAAAAGTTTCCTTGCACCCTGCACAATCTCTCTCTCCTATTCCTCCCTGCTTCCTAGGAAACCACTCATCTGCTTTCTGTCTATGGAAGACAGACAGACTCTGGATATCTTGGACCAAGAGGTAACCTAGAGCATGGAAAGGACGCACTGAGGATGCTGGAGCAGTGAGAGAAATTCGAGCAATCGTCACTGAAGACTCCATGGAGCTGGCAGACAAGCTCTGCAAAGCTGACTTCTGAACTTCTCTCACAGAAGTCAATGATATTTAGGGTTCTGTGTTATATATACCTATACTTAGTCCTTATTGATACAACTTCTCTATCAGGCTTTCCTATACCAAATCAATGAGCAATCCTATTGATTGAATCTAATAGGCCCATTCTCTCACAACCCAGCTAATGCCTTTCTGTTCAGTTCTATGTTGTAAACCAATGCCTAGATTACAGCACAGGCATTCCTAAACTGGTCTCCCTCCCATAGCCTCGTCATCTCTGATCTACCTTCTACGATGGGTGATCTTTGTAAAATATAAATTTAATGATTCCATTAAAATTTGAAAATGTCTTCCTCATTGTACTATGACTTTATTGCTAATGCCTATTTTTTAAACCTCCTCTCTAGTTAATACCTGAAACTTCCTGAAGACCTGTAGTCATTTTCAATTGCAAAAGCTATTCCCTCTAGAACATTTCTAAAGTCAATTTAAAAGTCAGTCTCTTTACCTTTCTTGTTCAAGTTCCCCTTGCCCCACCCCTAGGAATCCATGGCTTTAATTAAAGCATTTATTATCATAGAATGCTGTAACTATTTATATGAACCGCCAATTCCACCAGACTGCAAACAACTCCTCCAGAATAGGATTTCAAAGCGTATTCACCGCCCACTCTATTCAACACAGTTCTTAGATCTTATCTTCAGTAAATGTTTAAATGAGGTAAAGTGATCAGTTCAGGCTTTTCCTTCTGGCTTCCACTTTTCTCTTCAGTATTTTATATTATATTTTATATTATCTTAGACTTTGACAGTCAGTTTGTGTTTATCCCTACCGCTGGATCCTTCCTGCTTCAACTTTCCATTCTCTCCTAATAATTAACTGGCAGACTCAAACAGCACTCCCCGAACATGGGACAGTACCAGGTTCTTACTATCTGCAAGGCACTGTGTAAGATATCATTAAGTAAAGCTAAAGAAAACATGGACTAAAACCTAGGAAAAAGATATATGCGCAATTGTAATAAGAGGCTATGACAATTACCACCTTAACACAAGTAGAATCAAATTCTAGGTCATAAGGCAAAACTCACTCTATCCTGGGGTCATACATGCTTCATGGAGGAGGTACCTTCTAAGAACCACAATTCAGGAGGCAAACAGGATTCCAGTAAACAAATGTGAGAGAAAGATCTAGGATCAAAGATGAAAGGGCATGCGGCACGTTCTGGGTCCTTGAAGTAGCACAGCTTCACTCAAAAGTAACATTAAATAGGATTAAAAAGATAAGGTAGTGATAGGATTCAGAGAACTCTGAAAGGCAGGCTCAAGAATTCAAATTTTATTCCTTTTTTTGTATGCTTTCAGGGGGAAAAAGAGTAAGAAATCTTAGTTCCTCTATTCTGCTCCTTAATATCATCTTCCCATTCTGCTTTTGTCCCTATTAAGTGCACCTACTGGCCAAAATCTCCTGATCTTAAATACTTCCCTCCCTCTCCTCTATACTCCCTCCCCAGCCTGTCTACAGAGTATAGCTAGAGGCAGAGCAGCACTCCAGGAGCCTTTCTGCACATTTCCTTGAGGAAGGAACACAGATTTTGGGACTAATTTTTTAAAAATCTCTTCTCTCCTTCCCTCATTACAAAGAATCAGAAACAACAAAAACATTAAAGGTAACATCACTACAAGAAGAGTTCACAGCTAGGATAAATACATCATTTTTCTCTTTAATGATTCCTTTGTGCCTAGTGAACCTGTAAGTTACCTAACTTGCAGTAAAACACTCTGACATGCCACATGAGAACCTCTTTGTAATAACCGTGGCTAAAAATATGGGGCGAGAGGGCAAAGTTTCAAGCTTATCTTCTGACTTGAACCTTAGTTTCACTTTTTACATCTCGCTAGATTATTTCCTAAAAACAAACAGCATGTAATTTCTCACCTGGTAATCTCCTGCTGCAACTGAGAAACTGAAGGCACATAAAACACCACTCCAAAATAGACGGTAGGTTCCAATGCATATTTATCCAGCTGCTTCTTTAAAGGTTTTTCCAAATCTACCCACCGGCGCTGATTTTGCTTGTTGTAGTACCAGAGGCTGAAGTAAGTGACCTGAAAAGACAGAAGGTCACTGAAGGAGGCAGTTACATACAAAAGGATTTCAATGACTTCAGTCCCACTAATCCATGACCTGGGACTAAGTGACAGCAGGCTCCTATTGCCTCTCTTCTCAGAGAGGAACAACAGCAAAAATGGGAGGGAAAAAAAGGAGGTAAGACATATCTGTAACTAGCTACTCATATTCAGGAAACAGAGGCAAAAAGTCAATTGCACTTGCATATCATTTATTAAACTCTGCACCAAAAAAAAAAAAAAAGCATTCATAACCTAGACACTGGAATGTAGCGGGTGCTACTCAATTTTACATGCAGGTTTTAACAACAACAACCAAAATACAGAAGAATATTATCCTTCATTTTTCAATTACTTAAAAACTAAATTTATCTACCTACCTATCTATATCTATATCTATATCTATATCTATATATATAGATAGATAGATATTTTTTTTTAAGATGGAGTCTTGCTCTGTTGCCCAGGCTGAAGTACAGTGGTACAATCTCAGCTCACTGCAACCTCCACCGCCCAGGTTCAAGCCACTCTCCTGCGTCAGCCTCCAGAGCAGCCAAGATTACAGTGTGCACCACCATATCCAGCTAGTTTTTTGTAATTTTAGTAGAGACATGGTTTTACCAGGTTGGTCAAGCTGGTCTAGAACTCCTGATCTCAGTTGATCTGCCCACCTTGGCCTCCCAAAGTGCTGGGACTACAAGCATGACCACACCCAGCCTCATAATTAATATTTTTAAATAATCATAACTCAGGCTCTACCCAGTGGACTTCTGAGTAAATAGTGTTGAAGCAATTTTTCACTACTTTTAGTTTTGGTTTCTACAAAAAACATTATTTCATGTAAGTACTATGAATTCTAGTATTCAGATGCAAATGCAACTCTTCTTTACCCCTTTGTCCCCAAAATTTCATTAGATACAAATTTAAAACAATTTTAATGCTGTGGAGGGGAATGCTCTCTCTCTTTATACACACACACACACACACACATACACACACACAGTGTGTGAGAAAAGCTATGACAAATGCAATAAAATAATGTTGGTGTATTGCTCAGAAGTTTAAAGAAAATGCCCAGATGTCTTAGCATTTAGATCACGCTTGCTGTGTAATGAAACTGTTAAAGTAAATCAATACTAGCCCTGGGCCTGGTCAACCTGAAAAGGTATTAATGCACTTAGTAGTTGAAATGGCAGCCTCAAGCCACTGCTAATACTTGCCTCAAAATCTACCTACAGATCAAGACAATGGAAAATCAATGCTTTGTAGTTGTACACTCCAGAATCACACTGTCCCATCAGAACTTTGTGTGATGATGTCCAATAAAGTAGCCACTAGCCACATGTGGCTACTGAGCACTTGAAATGTGGTAGTGCCACTGAGGAGCTGTATTTTTAATATTATATAATTTTAATTGACTTAAATAGCTACAAGTATCTAGTGGCTACTATACTGGATAGTATAGATTTAAAGTAACAAGAAAACTGAGAAAAAATAGGCCATTTCTTTGACCTGCAACCCTCATTCAAATATAAAATAAAACTTTAATCTGTAAGGGAAAAGCTTATGCAAACATGCCCTCAACAGTCATTTTCTTATTTTTTTTAACAAGGTAAGAGCTATACCTTTAAGATTAGTTAATCAAACAAATTCAACAAGAGTGACGAATGTGCCCATTTTCCCCTAAATCCACAAATCTCTAGAATACTGCTGGACTTCAATAAATTCTGTTGAATGAAAAGAAGGAATATTCTCGTTTCTTAGTTGCCACTCAAGTCATCACACACGAATGGAATATTTTGAACATTTCCTATGTACCAGCTTCTATTCCAAGAACTGTAGAGATATCATAGATTAACTCACCATCACTAATTTATGAAGTAGGTATTTTTATCTGTGTTAAATCCCAAAGCCAGTGTTTTCCCCAAGTATTGTCCCTGGACTACCTCTACCAGAATTACCTAGAGAGTTTCCTGGGCACTAAAAAGCTATTAATCTCCTAGGTAATTCTTGTGTCCCTTAAAGTTTGATAACTTTGCACTACACTACACTGCCCCTCCAAAGTTATGCAGGAGAAAGTTATATAAAACCTTATCTTTGGTGGGCGTGGTGGCTTGCACCTGGAATGCCAGCACTTTGGGAGGTGGAAGTGGGAGGAGTGCTTGAGCCCAGGAGCTTGAGACCAATCTGGGCAACATGGCGAAACACCGCCTTTACAAAAAATACAAGAAATTAGCCAGGAGTGATAGCATGCGCCTGTAATCTCACCTACTCGGCGGGCTGATCACTTGAACCCAGGAGGTACATAGAGGCTGCAGTGAGCTGAGATCGAACCACTGCACTTGAGCCTGGGTAACAAAGTAAGATCCTGTCTTAGAAAAAAAAAAAACCTTATCCTTGACAAGCTTCATGGAAATAAAACTTCTGAAACTCCAAGCATACTGTAATATATCTGAAAGGCCAAGTCCTATGGTTAATCATATTCTGAAGTTATATTTTTTAATGAATTGCTTATTATCTATAAGCACAGAATATGTACACACATTTATAGAAAACAAGTACTGTTCTTTTCTTCTTTTAAACTGCAACTTACAGAAAAGGAAAATCTGGCTTAATAGAAAGAGCTTGATGCTTATGTACAAAGTTCTGAGTTTGATTTCCAACAGTTACTTACTAGGTGTGAAATGGCAAAGTCAACCAGTCCAATTTGGTTTTCTCAAGTGTAAAATAAGGTAATACCACCCTCAAAATCTTATCATGAGGACTGGATAAGGGAAAACCATATAAGTACATTTTCCTATGAGAAAACCATCATATTTTATTTTTTTGAAAGAGAGTCTCACTCTATTACTCAGGCGGGAGTGTATTGGCTCACTCCTGCCTGCAGTGATCAAAGCTCACTGCAACTTTGAACTCCCAGGCTCAAGTGATCCTTCTGCCCCAACCTCCTAAGTAACTAGACTACAAGTGCATGCCAACACACCAGGCTAATTTATTTTCCTTTTTTTAGTCAAGACAGGGTCTCACTATGTTGCCCAGGCTGGTCTTAAACTCCTGGCTTCAAGTGGTCCTTCCGTCTCAGCCTCCCAAAGTGCTGGGATGACAGGAGTGTACCACCATGCCAGCCTGAAAACCACTATATTTTTTTTAAATATTATTTCGTTTCACCCATTCTCCCCACCATGAACAAAATCATTTATTGACTGTGTCCCTCAAAAGACTTTCTAAATTATCTACATGTATTTGATTACAACAAAAACCATTTCTGTTACTACGTCTGGTTTTTGTTCCATCTTAGAATACAAGTTTGGGGCTGAATGTACCACATTTGGTCTATAATGTATATCACTACTGTGCACTTTAATTCCACAAACATTTATTTCTGCCAGATTAGGAATCCTTTAGGATCTAAAACTGTTTTGGTCGTTAACAGTATGTCGTCATTTTTAACCAAAATGAAAATGTCAAAAATACCCTTTGAACAAATTGACTTTCCCTCTAAATACTAGACTGTTTCAAATACAAAAATAGAATTATAAAAGTTTAAGTTTATTGTATAATTTGTGGTTGTACCTTTTGTGAATGGGCTGTGATAGAATTAAAAGAAAATAACACTGAACAGTCTGCTAGCATTCTTTTAAAAAACACATTCTGAAAGGAAAACTTAAAATGTGCTAAGTATATCAGTGTATCTATTACTCATAAGACATGAATTAGAAAATCAAATAGAACTGGACAAATACATTTGTTGACATTGCATCATAATTAGCTTTTCACAAATTATATACCATAGAAGAGAGTAGCAAAAACTTTATCTAATGGTACAAAAAGCTGAAAAGAATGGTGGGCTTAAACCGGGCATGGTGGATCACTCCTGTAATCCCAGCACTTTGGGAGGCAGAGGCCAGTGGATCAATTGAAGTCAGGAGTCTGAGACAGGCCTGGCCAACATGGTGAAACCCCATCCCTACTAAAAATACAAAAAAATTAGCCAGGTATGATGGTGGTAGGTGCCTGTAATCCCAGCTACTCAGGAGGCTGAGACAAGAGAATCGCTTGAACCCAGGAGGCAGAAGTGAGCTGAGATCATGCCACTGCACTCCAGCCTGGGTAACAGAGCAAGACTGTCTCAAAAAAAGGAATGGTAGGCTAAGTAAATTCTTTGTTGGTGAGCACTTTTAAATGAAGAAGTCTAAGATTTGGGACATCTGAACATTGACTTTGTAGCTTGTCAAGGAAAGACTGTTTACATAACTTTCTTGTGCATAACTATTGCAGTTAAATTATTTGCTTTGGGACCTGCCCCAGTGTTCAAGTTCTATCTTAAGACATGATGAAAGCTAGCCAAAAACCAAATTTATATCTTGTTAAATACCTCCTAGAAGGTATTATATTTCTAAAATTGCTGCTAGAAATGTTTATATACATATGGGTAACTAAAGTATCATAACATAATCCTTGGATTGAATGCTCTCTTAGAATTTCTACACATAATCAGCTTTGCGCAGTGGCAGTATCATAGCCAATGAGGTTTATCCGAGGTGCAATTATTGCTAATTGAAAACTTTTCCCAATACCCCGCCATGACGACTTGAAATATAGTTGGTGTTGGCAATTTTTGGCAGTATCTACGGAGACTGAATCATAAAGAAAAAAAAAAGAATTCCTACACATAATCAAGTTCCATGAGATTTTATGACTATAATATTGTCTGTTTCTAAAATAGGTAGGTAGAGTTTGAGCAACAAAATATTGTGATTAAGAGCCGGGCGCGGTGGCTCACGCCTGTAATCCTAGCACTTTGAGAGGCTTAGGTGGGTGGATCACCTGAGGTCAGGAGTTCAAGACCAGCCTGGCCATCATGGTGAAACCCCATCTTAAAAAAAAAAATATATATATATATATATATATATTTATATATACACATAGAGAGAGAGAGAGAGATATTAAATTCTCATCAGGCAAAGATTTTTCCTGGG